TGATTCTAGAGCAAATATATTTTTCCAATTTGGCATTTATCATTCTTTACAATCAGGATCTGTTTATACATCAGTCATATTTACTGCAAAGTGAGCTCATTGAGAACAAAACAGACCTGTCCATTATGGGTCTCTGAAACACCCCCACCACCTCCACTCTTGCTGGGGATACCCCATAGACTATTTACTCATTCAGTAATCTCTGTGAAATTCAAGAATTAATCATTTAACTGAATTAAAGTCAGGTGTGGTGGTACCTACCTATAATCCCAGAAGTCAGGAGGTGGAAGCAGGAAGATCAAAAATTTAAGGCCAGCCCTAGGCTACATAGTGAAACTATGTATCACACGGAAAAAAAAAAAAAGCAAAGAAAGGAAAGGAAGGAAGGAAGGAAAGAAGTTAATCTGCAGGGACAATTGCTGGATCCACTAACCTTGGTAACTGGGTGCCGTTTTGGCATCTTGCTAATAACTAAATGGTTAACTGTTTTTTGGTGTTGGCATTCAAACCCTCAGGGCTCAGAGGATCTTTGGTTTGAATTTTCTCCATTCTTTTAAGATCCAGGTTGTACTGGACTCATTCAAGTGTAGGGATCAGATGTCCTCAGAAAAAAAAAAAAATCCACACTTCAGGCTGTTTCCTGGCTCCTGGTTCTTCCTGACACATTCCAAGTAGGAATTTATGGAGGTTGGGAAGGACAAGGGGTGAAGAATTTCTAGAACATTTAAGAACACCCATGACTGACTGGGCACAATAAAATTCTCTTGTTTGTCAGCGAGAAAAGTTTGGTGCAAGCTGTCTCACACGTGACCAAAATGAAGTGGAGACAAATTCATCTGCATATTTTAAGCTGAAGAGGTCATGCTTGCCTCTGCAAACCTGGGATGTTGCACATTATACCTAGGTCAACAAGATAAATATACACTGTGAGCTACTCAATATGAAGTCATTACTAAGTCTGAAATGTGCCTCTCTAGCCAGTTGGGAGGGTTTTCTTTTATCTAAATTTAAAAAAAAATGACAGCTTTATTGTTTATTCTCCAGCTGTGACCAGGGAAAAATTTAAGCATGTTGATTCCTGCTTCTAGTGATGGTCTTTGTCCTGTGGCGAGATGTCTAAAAATAACCATAAGTGTATTCCATGCTGACTTCAAAAGGTTAGATACCAAATCACTCATGTAGGAAGATCTTGCTCCTGGGGTGCTAAAATCTGCCATCCTGTGACAAATCTCCCCAATATACCCATCCAATGGCCCTTACTTTGTACTTGGAAGCTACAGAGACAAGCAAAAGTCTACTTCCTTAAGAATTCTACCCAGTGACCTTGTCCCCCTTCCCTCCCCAACGTTGGCTTTCTCAGCTATAGGACTCACAAGCACAGGTCTACAGGCTTTCCTCCCAAAACCTTTCCTTACTGATCACTTCCTAGAAAGATAAGAATCATCAGGTACTTTCAAGGGAGCCTGATTCTTCGTGTCTCACTGGAATCTCCCAAACAACAATCTCAAGTACTTTTCCTTCAGTTTGACCTCACAGGAGATATAAGTTAGCCAGTTGTCTATGTGGAGACTATTTTGCATTCTTAAAAGTCATTATTTGCTCCCTAGTGTTCCCCCCCCCCCTCTGGAATAAATATTTCTATTCCACGTAAATGTATCATCACAAGGTTTACCTCGTCATCCATCAAAAATTGCTGCAGCTCTTGTGATCTAGGTCCAAGATACTGCTGAACTGTGGACTGGATTCCAAAGGAGAAATCCAATTCCAGCTTAAGGAAAAGGAGATGAGGCACAGATTGTTGCTAGGTTCTTTTCTCAGGAGTGCAACAATATGGCAGCTAGTGTTTACCTAGTGCTTACTCTGAGTTTGACACCAGTCTGTGTACTCTATCCACAGATCTTCCTCAATTCTATTGGTAATGGCTTTATAAATGGCATCAGGATAGGTAGTAGTTTGCCAAAGGTACAGATCCAAGGAATGGCATTTGAACCCAGATGTGTCCAATTGTAAAGTTTAGGCATTTTTCACAATACTGAAGGTCTGACAGGTCTCACGAGCTGTATGTGCCAGTGGGCTTTCCAGATTTGCCTTTCCTTCCTTTAAGCAATAGGGTATTTGGCTGTGTCTGCACACATTTCTTAAGTAAACACTGAAAACTCCCTACTCTGCCACGATCTTCTCATTATTACCCTACATGTTTTGTCCTGGCATCTCAGAAAACAGCTCTAGTGGCTTTTTAGATGGAAATCTAAGTCATTTAGCAACATATACAGACAAGTGTTAGGTAAAAGTCCATCCTAGAGTATTCCTTCCAAGCTTGGTCCATGGCCCTTCCTCAGCAAAGATTTTTTTTTAAGAGCTAATAGTGAATGAGAAAAGGGTAGGGGGAAAGAAGCACTTTGTGAAGGCAAAGAGAGTTAAAGCAAACATTCTAATAGAGCATGCAATCGATAAATAGTTGTCCACTAAACAAGTAAGATAGATGGCATTGGCTTTCAAGAAGAAAATGTACAAACTCTCCTTCATAATAATCTTCATCCAGTAGCTTTAGCTATATCACAGATGTGCGGGATAGTTATTAAGGAAATAAATTTGAATAAGAAAGCATTCTAAAAAGAGGGGTTTTTGTTACTTTGCTTTGTTTTCCCTAAACTATAGAGCAGATGACCTATATAGATATTGCTTAGACAGTTGGTTAGCTCTCAGTATAAGTACAGTAGGGATATGTATATAGAGACAACCTACTTAAATGCACAGCTAGAGGTCTCCAGAGCCCTATAGTTTTCCATGCCAATTCCCTCTCCAGATGTGGCAAGGTGGTGATCCTTCAGGATCAAATGGATGGCTTTGTAAGATCTTTGTCAGGAGAACACTGATGGCTCATACCTCCTAGTTACTCAGAAAGCTGAAATCGAAGGATCGCAGTTTGTCACGATGTGTACAGATCACTCACCCATGCATCTACAGCACAACTTTATTCAATATTAAAACTCCACCAAGTTTAGCCATGTCTTCCTATCCTCACTCCATGGTTTCCAAAGTCCCTTTGACATCTCACTTTTCCTCTGCTCATATAGGTGAATAACCACAAGACAGGTGAGTAGGACACTTTTGTAAAGTCAGAACTGTTTCATAGTATCCACACTTGTTCTCTGCACTGTTTTTATCTAATTTATCTCACTAACATCATGAGATTAGTGGATTCAGCAGAAATTCTATCCTTTCCAATAAGCCACATTCTTCTGACAATTCCTTTTTATACAAACCCCATAAGCAGTTCAATTCTATATCCATAATGTAGATCCTTTGCATTGTTTCTAACTCTGTTCCCTAAATATTCAATAGATGATTCCATTTTTCTTTTGAATTCTATTGTTAAGACCCTAAGGGTAAACACTTACTTATTTCTAACACCCACAGAACTCTCTAATGGAAAACTTGGTAGGAATTCTAGAAGTACTGTTCAACTGAAGGCCCATGGACACCCTCTCTGTTGCAGTGAGTCTTGGTTAAAACAGTGGGTTCAGGAGCATTTTGCCAGGCTCTTGTAAACCTGGACATTTGAAGGTTCTAGATACGAACCAAGGAGAAAGGAAATGAAGAGCAGAGACAGAAGCTCAGCTAGGATGAAAACCTAGTTTGCTTTTGATGCCTTTAATCTTGTTCTCTGCCTCTCACAACAGAAGAGAACCAGCAGATAGTGTTAATATTTTTTTGGTAGAATCAGTCATAAGAAACATTAGGACTTAAAGAATATCTACTCAAGACAATTCACAACAATATAATTCACTCAGAGGGCATGGCTGTTGTAAATATTGGAGGAAATCATAAATAAGTGATAAAACCTGGCAGTAGCATTATAATCTTCACTCTAAGTAAAATGTGGTGTGAGAAAAAGGAGGTCTATAACTTGCCCATGGACCCAAAGCTGGACCTGAGATGAAAGGGCAAGCCCATAGTGAAGCGACTAGCACAACCATGTTCCATGCAGCATTATTTACAACAACCAAGATATGGATCCAACCCAAATGCCCCTTAATGGACAAATGGATAAAGAAAATGTGGTATATATGCACAATGGAATTCTATGCTTCCATCAGAAAGAATGATATTGTACCATTCATAAGGACATGGAAAGACTTGAAGAAAATTCTATTAAGCATAGTAAGCCAGACCCAAAGAAACATAGGTTGCATGGTTTCCCTCATTTGTTGTAACTAAATGTGCCTACAAATCTACAAGTAAACATATTAGATGGTAAAAGACAAAAAAAATGTACTTGGACATTCATGATATTCCCACAGTGACACCAAAGAAGGCTATTCTTAGGAGAGGACAACAAAGGCTCACTTGCTACATGCATAGGACCATATAAAATGAACGCCAAGAAATTGAATCAAGAGGTTTTTGTTATTTGTTTGCTTTTTCCCCCTCTTTTTTCCCCCCTCTCCTTTGTCACTGTTTTTGCTTTCTGTACAGTTTTCTTGTAAGTTTTCTGTTTGGAGAGGATAAAGTGGGAGCACAGAAATGGTGGAAAAAAGGGTGAACAAACGCAGCAGTGCTACTCACTAGATACTATGTTGAAAATGAACTATTTAACTTGTAGGAGCATTGGGAGGGAAAAACTGGAAGAAAGTGAGTGGGGGTTGACATTGTTCAAAAAGAAATGCACTCATTACCTGACTTACGTCACTATAACCTTTCTGTATATCATATATATTTTTTTGAAGGCAGGCCTAGCTTACTCCAATGTTTTATACTTTTCTCTATCCTTCTTTTTCCCCTTATAGAAATTGCACAGTGAATGAAATCATTCCTTTAAGTTCACAAAATTCTTTTAGAGACCTATTTTGTATCCTCGTTGCAGTATATATAAAGGAACATCAAGAGGCTTCAAACAAAGGAAGTATAAAGGCAAATTGCCCTTGGAATTGTAAATATTCAAATTCCAGTAGTAGTAGATACTAATAAATCTGTTGTTTTCCTTTGTTTACTTGTAGAAAATTGTTCTCACAAGAAGACTGAGGACAACTGGTTTCTATTCCACTCAGGACTTAGAAATCCCAAATTCTGCTGAGAGTAAGACCTCCTAGAACTACAGAGACACCTAGTCAATCCCATTGCCATCATGGGATTCATGACTCGGCTACTGTCGGGCATTTTTCTAGTGTTGCTTGCCCTCCCTTCTGAAGGTGGGGTCCTGAAGAGAATCATCCGACACAAGCGACAGAGTGGGGTGAATGTCACCTTGCCAGAGGAGAATCAGCCAGTCGTGTTTAATCATGTCTATAACATCAAGCTACCCGTGGGGTCACAGTGTTCTGTAGATCTGGAATCAGCCAGTGGGGAAAAAGACCTGTTCACACCTTCAGAGTCCAGTGGAAGTTTCCAAGAACACACCGTGGATGGAGAGAATCAAATCGTGTTCACACATCGCATCAACATTCCCCGCCGGGCCTGCGGCTGTGCCGCTGCCCCAGACGTGAAGGATCTGCTGAACAGACTGGAGGAGCTAGAGGCCCTGGTGTCCTCCCTGAGAGAGCAGTGCACCATGGGAGCAGGCTGCTGTCTCCAACCTGTGGAAGGTAGGACCTGGGCACAGCCTGGGTAGATGGGAGAAATGATGGACACCATACAATCAGCCCACTTGTTTCCAATGTGGTTTCTTGGCAGACTCCCCTTGAAAGGTCTTCATTGGAAATCAAACAAAGAAAAATATTTAATGTCATGTAACTGTGGAGAATGTAGCCATCTCTTTCGTTCAGGGTGGCAAGTGCTTCTTGGAAGAATTGTTAGGCCTTTGAGAAATCTGCTTTATAAAATTCTAGTTGACTACAATTCCATGTTGCTAAAACATATTTACTACAAGATCTACTAGTTCCCCACCCCAGTATCTATGAGCATACCATAAAATTCCTGTCCCAAATTGGCATTCTGAATAAGACACTGGTATTGCCTCATCATCTCATTGCACAAATGGAGAAACTGTGGCTCAGAAAGGAGGGTACGTTTTTCACAGTTCTATAGTAAGGAGCTGACTTAGGTCTTAACATAGTGTTCCATGCTCATTAGTCTTACAAATGTACAATGCTGCTTGGGGTAGTATTGAATCTGTGGGAGTTGAAAAATGTTCTAGTGTAACAAACGTAACACTAAAGGTGGATGTAACACTAAAGGTGGTGGCAATAATGATGATGGTGATGATGGTGGTGGTGGTGGTAACCACCATCATGACTTAAGTCCTCTTGTCTACTAAGTATTACTATATTGTTATTTTTTTCCAACTACCCTTTAATATAATGTTTGATAGCCCTCTACAGTGCTAAGAATTGAGACAAGTTAACCAAATTGCACAAGACAATACCTAAACAAGGAGAGATGGAGATAGTGAATGCTCCTGTCTGCCTTCAGAACTCATCCTGTACTCTTAATCACATCTCTCCATGTGTATCCCATATTAGAGAATGTGGCTGCTCTAAAATTATATCTTCATCTTCAATTGCAGAAGGCAATAGACCTACAGGAATTTCAACAACAATTTCAAATAACAAACAACTGACGTTGTTTCAACAACTTCAAATCCCTAGTTCAACCACTCAGGACAAAACAAAACAAAACTACCAGAAAGTACACTGAGACCTAACTACCCAACCTGGAGAAAAGTGTAAGACATGTTCTGGGCTTCTAAGAAAAAGTTTTAAAGTTTTCTGCCAATTCCATGGCAAAATGAAGAGTAGGAGCTTTAATGTCAGAGTTGGCAGAAATAATTGTTTAGAGAAGCACTATCTGATTAAAATATGATGTGAACATACAAGTGATCTTAAATCTTCTAGTAATCTCATTTAAAAGTGAAAAGGAATAGGTAAAACTAATTTCGATCATCTATTGTATTTAACCCACGAGAACTAAAATATCCATTCTTTTTCAGACTAGAATCAATATAAAACTAGTTAAAGAGTGTTTTGTGGCTTATTTTTGTGCTAAATCTTTGAAATCTGATATACAGTATATATATATATATATATATATATGTATTATGCATATATATATTATGTTTACAGAATATCTCAGCTCAGATGGGCCACAATTTTCCATGTTTATCAGTCATGTGTGTCCAGCAGCCACATATTGGAAAGCACCTCTTAGATTCTCATTGTTCAAATTAGCTTAAAAAGAATATATATGTCATCCCTTCCCTCTGTCAGGAAGGAGATAACACACACTACAAATGTGTTTAGGTGCAGAGATATGAAAGTCACCGTACATCTTTCTCCTTGAGTTCCATGAACATCAGAGCAGTGACTCTTAAAACTTCAGCCAAGCTGCTGGGTATCTGTGGCTCAGGCCTTTCATCTTAGCTACTCAAACGGCTGAGATCTAGATGATCACAGTTCAGAGGCGGCAGGGGCAGAAAAATCCATGAAACTTCATCTCCTAAATAAATAACCAGCAAAACTTTAGGCTGGAGGAATGACTCAAGTGGTAGATCACCAGGCAAGCAAGCAAGCCAAGCAAATATGAGCCTTTAGTATTAGCTAGGGCAGTTAAAAGAATGTTTGAACTAAGCCACTACTCATATTCAAAAGGCAGGCCTGACCTGCCTTCCTCAGACTCCCCACTACTGCCTTCCAGAAGGTGAGAAGGGAAAAGACAAAACCTTAAAAGTTTTTGGAGGCAGAGTGAAAGCTGACTGAATTAGAAAGCCATTCCTTAGCTATGGGAAATTAGAAAGTCTGTTATCTTACAAATTCATACATTGACCTAAGCTAACCACCCCCCCCCAAAAAAAGAAAACAAAACACAAAACTTTGACAAAGCAGCTAATATCACATTGAACTTAGAAGTGAGCTTTCAATGTCCTTATTTAACCCTGCTCACTGTGTTCCCCCCAATACTCCCCCCACCACCAGGAAGTAGGCTATCAAGTCTTACTTGACTTAGGAAAGTCTAAATCCCACCCTAAATATACCATTGAGACAACACACAGAATTGAGTCCAGCTCACAGGTATTTCTTGGACACCTATTGGGAACTGATTGGGTACCAGGAAAGTAACAAATAGCCCTCACTTAATGCCTTACATAAGTCAGCGACTCAGTCACTGAAGTCTTGAGACCCCTAGGAGGGCTGGAAACACACGTGCCCGGAGGAAGATGGGTTTCTCGGCTCCCCACCTGCTATCACTCACTGGACACAAATCCCATCTGAGTTCGGGGCTGCTCCCGTCCGTCCGTGGGTCGGTCTGGAGAAGTCCCTCTGTCTAACGCCAGCTTCCCTTCCTCTTGTCTTTCCACCCGCCAGGCCGCCTGGACTCCAGGCCTCTCTGCAGCGGCCGGGGCAACTTCAGCACGGAAGGCTGCGGCTGTGTTTGCGAACCGGGCTGGAAAGGCCCCAACTGCTCGGAGCCCGAGTGTCCGGGCAACTGCAGCCTGCGCGGCCAGTGCCTGGACGGGCAGTGCGTGTGCGCCGCGGGCTTCGCGGGCGCCGACTGCAGCGAGCCGGCCTGTCCCTCCGACTGCAACGACCAGGGCCGCTGCGTGCAGGGCGCCTGCGTCTGCTTCGAGGGCTACACGGGGCCCGACTGCGGCCGGGAGGTCTGCCCGGGGCCCTGCAGCGAGGAGCACGGCACCTGCATGGACGGGCGGTGCGTGTGCCGGGAGGGCTTCGCGGGCGCCGACTGCCGCGAGCCCCTGTGCCTCCACGGCTGCCGCGGCCGCGGGCGCTGCGTGGAGAACGAGTGCGTGTGCGACGAGGGCTTCACGGGCGACGACTGCGGCGAGCTCATCTGCCCGCACGACTGCTTCGACCGCGGCCGCTGCCTCAACGGCACCTGCGACTGCGACGAGGGCTTCGCGGGCGAGGACTGCGGCCAGCTGGCCTGTCCCCACGACTGCCGCGGCCGGGGCCGCTGCCACGAGGGCCAGTGCGTGTGCGACGAGGGCTTCGCGGGCCCGGACTGCGGGGAGCGGCGCTGCCCGGCCGACTGCCACCACCGCGGCCGCTGCCTGGCCGGGCGCTGCGAGTGCGACGCGGGCTTCGCGGGGCCCGACTGCGGGGAGCGGCAGTGCCCGCGGGGCTGCGGCGGGCGCGGCCGCTGCGCCGACGGCCAGTGCGTGTGCGACGAGGGCTACACCGGCGAGGACTGCGGCCAGCGGCGCTGCCCCGGCGACTGCCACGGCCGCGGCCGCTGCGTCCAGGGCCGCTGCGTGTGCGAGCCGGGCTACCAGGGCTTCGACTGCGGCGACATGAGCTGCCCCGGCGACTGCCACGGGCGCGGCCGCTGCGTGAACGGCATGTGCGTCTGCGACGACGGCTTCACCGGCGAGGACTGCCGGGAGCGCCGGTGCCCCCGCGACTGCAGCCTCCGCGGCCGCTGCGTGGACGGCCGCTGCGAGTGCGAGCCCGGCTTCGCGGGCCCCGACTGCGCGCAGCTCGCCTGCCCCGCCGACTGCCACGGCCAGGGCCGCTGCGTGGACGGCCAGTGCGTCTGCCACGAGGGCTTCATGGGCCGAGACTGCCAGGAGCGCAGGTGTCCCAGCGACTGCCACGGCCAGGGCCGCTGCGTGGACGGCCGGTGCGCCTGCCACGAGGGCTTCGCGGGCCCCGACTGCGCGCAGCGCTCCTGCCCCAGTGACTGTCACGGCCTGGGGCAGTGTGTGTCCGGCCGCTGCATCTGCCAGGAGGGCTATGCCGGGGAGGACTGCTCCGAGGGTGAGTACGCGAGGCCCGCGGGCCCGCGGGCGAAGACTTCGGGCTGGCGCAGCCCACACACGGAATCAGGGTCAGGCTGCTCGTGCCCATAGCAGTGGCCTGCGTCTGGGTTACAACTCTGCGGGTGGAGCCCGAGAAGGGTGAATGAAGGGCGTACTGCTGACCCAGGAACCTCGGCCTGAAAGCAAGGGACTGATGGGTCTGAAAGATGAATCAGAGCCTGTTGATGGTGGCTGACTGCTGTCACCCTAGCTACTCAGGAGGCTGAGAGCTGAGAATCAGGGCTCCGAACCAGCTAGTGGGGCAAAAAAAAAAAAAAAAAAAGATTCTGAGATTCTAATCTCCCATGAACCAGCAAAAAGCCAGAGGGGAGATGTTGTACAAGTAGGTAGAACACTAGAAGCCATACAAGAATGTAAGGTCTTGAATCCAAGCCCCAGATCCCCCACAGAATTAAGTAAATGGATGAATGAATTGAAAGAAAGAATGGATGGATGGTTATGCCAGACTCCTCAGTGAAGTCTGCCTGTATTTTAGAGAAAGTGGTACCAGCTTTCAGGGCACACAGCTTTACACCTCTGCTGCTGACAGTAAAGAGACAGGTCAAGGGAAGCAAACCTAGATTCTACAAGACACACTGCTGACCTCAGATGTCCTTTCTTATTTCTGCCAGTGTCTCCTCCCAAAGACCTTATAGTGACCGAAGTGACCGAGGAAACTGTAAACCTGGCCTGGGACAATGAGATGCGGGTCACCGAATACCTTATCATGTACACGCCTACCCATGCGGATGGCCTGGAAATGCAGTTCCGTGTGCCTGGGGACCAGACATCTACCACCATCCGGGAGCTGGAGCCCGGTGTGGAGTATTTCATCCGTGTGTTTGCCATCCTGGAGAACAAGAGGAGCATCCCTGTCAGTGCCAGGGTGGCCACTTGTGAGTGGGCAGAGCCCCTCTGGGTGGGCTCATCTGGCTTTGTCCCCCCTTCCCTGTGCCTCCCCCCAGTCCATACTCCTTCAATCCTACCATTGTCCTATGTGTAGTTATTTTAATTTAGAACCTAGAACCTGACTTAAGTCCACTGAATATTTTCCTAAAGAAACTAATTTTCTACTTAATCTCCCTCTTTGCTTTCCTTGTGCCCTTTCAACATTGGCAGGTAACACTTAACCAAGTGTCTGCCATGCACCAGACTTCGTTTTCACTACTTCACAAATATTAACTCACTGTTAACTGCATGAACTGATGGGGAAACTGAGACTCTGTAGTACACCATCTCAACCAAAATACCACAGCTAATCAGCAGCAGAGATGGGACTTGAGCTTAAGCAGTCCAGGTGACATTCTAGAGAGCTCATTAGCTGGTTCTATTTTTTTTAAGCAGATAATGCTTAGGATTCAGATTGTTCTTTAAGTCTCAGTATCTGTATAATTCCCTTCATACCTGAAAAGCAAGTTATGGCTTGAAGATGGCCCTTAGTTGCTTAGCAATAACAACAGTGGCTGCCACTTCCCAAATCTGTGCTGCGTGACAGGAGCCAGGTCTCTGGTCTATGACAAAACACATCACTCAGTCCTCTTTGCATTCCCAGGCACGGCAGTCGCCTCCTTCTCTCTGACTCATGGCAATTTACAGGGCTTTCTCAAGGTCGCAATGTTAAGGATGGTGAAGCTTGCTGGGTGGCTCAGGCTTGGAATCCTAGCTACTCAGGAAGCTGAGAACTGTCAATCACAGTTAAAAGACACCCTGGATAGGAAAGTCTGTAAGACTCTAATCACCAATTAACCACCAAGAAAGGCTGGAAGTCACACTGTGACTCAAGGGATAGAGCACATGCCTTGAGCAAAATGAAGCCCAGGGACAGCACCCAAGCCCTGAGTTCAAGTCCCAGGACCAACAAACAGACACAGGCACACAGACAGACAGACAGACAGACAGACAGACAGACAGACAGACACACACACACACACACACACACACACACACACACACACATACACATACACACACATACACACAGAATGGTGAAGCTTAAGATTTTGGCCCAAGTCTGTCTGATTCCAAAATCTGGACTTAATTACAGTTAACCATGTAAAATTGCCAGTATCCTATTACATGGTTGGTCTTAATAGTTACTAGTTTTCAAGGAGCAAAATAGTAGACAGAATCCCAGAAGAGGAACTTCTAGAGAGAGGCCAGTTCTGATTATCAGCCCCTGGATGACAGGCATCCATCATGAGCTGATAATGAGTAGAATCAGGGCTGTGTGGCTCCCACCACAGATCTGCCCCCTCCTTACAGTATTGTTTGTGCTGTTTCTTATAGACTTGCCTGCACCTGAAGGCCTAAAATTCAAGTCCATCAAGGAGACATCAGTGGAAGTTGAGTGGGATCCTCTAGACATTGCTTTTGAAACATGGGAGATCATCTTCCGGAATATGGTGAGATACAGAGAACAGGTGCATTTGACCTCAAGGATCTGAAAGGGACTCAAAGGATTCTACAGACTCAAGTAACTCTGTCCTCAACTTTGGTGGGAAGACAAAGCTCCGGCATCTTGTAGTTTTGCATGTGCATTTTAAGTGATGTTGAGTGTTTCTCTGATTTTAGTAAGTTAGAAAGTGCAGGGTTTAGGACTGAGAACCTAGGCAAACAAGGTCCTCTCAAGTACACCTTGTACATTCCTAAATGTCTGCAAACACATGTTGGATCTGAGCAGCTGTTCCCCCAAGCCCAAAAGCATGGGAGAGGCCAGCAACCTTGTTTCTGGGTATAAATCCAAGCTCTGCTACCAACTAGTTACGTGATTTTAGGAAAATCACTCAACTTCTCAGGACTTCTCAGATGCCAGCCTCCTGGTCTCTCAAAAGAAAGGTTGAATTTACAGGTCATAATTCCTTTGGCACTCACTTTCAGGCATTGGACTTGTGTATAAGAGGGTAGGGTAGAGAGATCTACAAGAGACAGAAATGAACTTGAGAAACAAAATGTCTATCAACTCTGTATCCTCAGCACTCCAAATGCCAATCCAATTCATAGTGAACTACCTAGTGAATGAAATTGATGCAACAAGGAATGAAGCCCACAAATGAAAGTGGTACCACCTCTCTAACTCTAACCCTAGTGCTTCCTTCTATCTTGCAGAATAAAGAAGACGAGGGAGAGATCACCAAAAGCCTACGAAGGCCAGAGACTTCTTACCGGCAAACTGGTCTTGCCCCTGGGCAAGAGTATGAGATATCTTTGCACATTGTGAAGAACAACACCAGGGGTCCTGGCTTGAGGAGGGTGACGACAACCCGTGAGTATTACAATGATGGAACCAACTGTGCCTCAGTGTACCTTCTGGTGCATCTGTGTCAATGAGCTTCTGTTTATTATCAAGAAGGCTCCATGTTATAGCTCACACAACACATTTCTACGGGTTCATGATTTTGGATTGATGGGCTGTACTAGATGGGCTCATTGATACATCATGCATCTCCTTCCAGGGAAGAAGGGGAGAGGGAGGGCTTGCGGGTCTGGTATGACCTCAGCCAGATGGTAAGTTTCTGTTCCATATGGTCTCATCTTCACTAGACTAACTGGGACCTGTGCACTGGGCTATTGAGCAGGCCTCAAACCAGCAGTCCCACACTGCTGTCACACAAACACCAAGGTGAGCCCAAGTATAAGGGTTAGGGAAATAGGTCCATCTTTGATAATAGGAACTCAAAAGACACATTCCCAGGAGGTAGAGATGAAGGAGGATATGATTTAAACCACTATGATGTAAACTATCTACCCCATCATCTCATTTAAATCTAACACCCAGTCCTAAGGCAAGAAACAGGGCAAATATTCTTGCTATTATATTTGAAAAGTAGAAAGTAAGCCTGAGAAAATTAGAGTCATTTTGTTTTTACTTTTTAAAAAAATTATCTTTAAGTAGTTGTACAAAGAGTTTTTGATTTAACGTGTCATTTTATTAGTATACTGCCTCTTGGTCAGTGCTATCCCTTGGATCATTAAGAAGCAAAATCATCTTAATCCCTCATAGTTTGTACAGTCAGTGCTACAACTTTAAGCCAGGACAACTATTAGAACCTTACCTCCATTATCACCAGCACTCAACAGGCTACGTGGTTGTTCTTGTTGTTTTCAGAAAGTTGATTTCATGTATCAACAGAAATCTAAATAAGATTTCACTCAATATGAATGTTATCAAAACTTCTTAGAGTAGAATAAGCTTTAGCATAACTAGAACATTTGATAAGAAAAAAAAAGTATGAATTTGGAGTTGCTTTTCTAGGAAGAAATATTTGTCAAACAAAAAAGAAAGAAAGAACCTAATCTTGCATTGCCATTTAGGAAAACCTCCTTTTTTTTTTTTCAAGATTGCATATGTGCTAGTTCTCTAAGGAGTTGAATCTTCTTGGCAGGAGGTTGTTGGAAAAGTTAAATCTGTTGACTAATGACAAGAAAGAACAGCTTGCACTAAGACATTTGCACATTTTTGCCTAGCTCAGGGCCAATGCATAAGACTGGCTCTTTCATAGTAAGTGTTTTCCGTCATCCTGACAAAATCTCTCTGTGGTAGGTCGAAAGCAGGTACAGGCAGGAAAAAAAATCATTAGATCACCAGAAAAGCATAGAAAGGATCAAGCAAATGCTTACTCACCGAACAGAAAACACACCCAAAACACAAAGGACAATTCTTTTGCCTGCCCTTTTCTTTTTATTCCAAATGTAAGGAATGGCTATTTTCTTCTTATAGAAGAACAAACACCTCCAATGTTTGAATTTTCAGAGTTACGCAAATAGCAACTTGAAAGACATATACTAACCTATTCTTTTTAGTGATATACTAGACGTTTGTTCTTTCTCTCTGGTACCTTCCTAAGATCGTATTGTAGCTCTTTTTGATATGTAGAAATCGATGAAAGGCATTGCCATAGAAAAGAGAAACAACAAAGGCCTGGATCTCATCACTCCTCAGTTTAACTTCTATTTTCACTATTCACTAGCCTGGTGGAAAAGTCTTGATTATTTAAACCCCAGATCCAACATGCATTTACAGTACTTTCCTTGTGAGGTGGTTCTACAAATAGAAACATACATGACACAAAAAAGCCTGTTCTGGGGAGGAAAGGGATGGTAGGGGAAAAACAAAGGAGGGGGTAACAATGCTCAACAGGAAATGGACTCATTACCTTGCTCATGTAACTGTAACCCCTCTGTACAGTATCTACAATAAAAAAAATTATAAAATGATTTTTTTAAAAAGGCCTGTCCTGTTAGTATGCAACATTCAAGGGACCCCAAGCTAGGAGGATATCAGTGACCTTAGATGAACCCCGAACTCTGTAATGAAAAAGTTCCCAAAAAGGGAAGAAAAATGGTCTGACTTCTTACACACCAAGCAGGAGGATCATGACTCATTTGTAGCATCCTTCTCATTATAAGCTATCATCTGCAAGCTGAGACCAATACCTAGACTTCAAAAATTAAGACACTACAAGCATCATCACGATGTATGGTGAATTAGTTCTCTTCTTGCTCCTTGCACAAAGCTTACAACCTTCTATCAGACATTTATTTGACCAAAGCTGAAGACACAGACTTATTTTAGAAAGAAGAAACATCTTCCAAATACCAAGTAGTGACATGTTATCACATTCCTGTCTCTATGCTAGGGATCAAGAAGGGACAAAAATTCATTCTCTGAGTAATGAATGAATAAAAGTGAGTAAATGAATCAATGAGTGACCCTATCTGAATCACGTCAAACTGTGGAGAAATCTGTTACAGGATAGGGAGGAAAGCTGACTGTTAGCCAGCTCTTTCAGGACAGGAGCAGCCTTAGGGAGAGAGAATGGGTTTAGGTGATTGCACATGGCTAAAGGAGGCTTCGGGCTGGGAGATAAACTGTAAGAGAGATTTCCAGGGATGGATGGGAACATTTTGGACTGGGTAGGATGAGCTCAGGGAAAAGGGGAAAGGGAAAAAGGGAAAGGGAAAGAGACTAGAAAGTGACAAACTCCCTAGAAGTGTGCTCCCAGAAGTCTGAGCAGCCTGCTGCCAGAGCACTAAATACGAGTGGCTAGAGCAAGAATTGAGTTTAACAGTACAACAGGACAAGCCAAGATGCAGATATGAAGACAAGAAAGGACTGAAAGAACAATGAATTCTTTTCATCAAAAGGAACTTCCACACCCCATAGCAATAGACCACTGCCTCAAATCTCTGCTCCATTGTTCAAATGGAAAAGTTAGTAAGCACCCAGGAAAGTTTGGCCTAATTTTTAAAAGGAAGAGAGCAACTAGATCAATTTTGTTCAGAGGAGATATCCTCTATGTTCCCTTAACTAAACAGAGTATTAATGGTGATAATAACAACAAAATCTTTTATTATATAATAGGCCATGTCCCAGGCTCTATGCTAGATGGTTTCTTTGTGAGCATTATCTCCTTAATTAGAAAAAATATACACTCATGACATATCATAATCCCTACCTATAGCTTATCAACTAGGAAATCCAGGCTCCAAAAGATAAAATAAGAAGTCAGTATGTATTTTATTCATGGGTCTGCTCAGTCACTGGCTCTGGCCTTGATCTCTGAATCTGCTCTGTCCTCTGTCCCATCCAGGCCTGGACGCTCCCAGCCAGCTTGAGGTGAAAGACATCACAGACACCACAGCTCTAGTCACCTGGTTCAAGCCCCTGGCTGAGATTGACAGCATCGAGCTCTCCTATGGTGCCAAAGATATGCCCGGTGACCGCACTACCATTGACCTTACACATGACGAGAACCAGTATTCCATCGGAAACCTAAAGCCTGACACAGAATACGAGGTGTCCCTTGTCTCCCGCAGGGTAGACATGTCCAGCAACCCAGCCAAAGAGACCTTCACAACAGGTAACAGTCCTTTCCCTGTTAACAGGGATGGGAAAGGAAGATGGCAAGATTTCTACCCCACACCAAGTCAGATGTTTTCTGGACTCATTTTCATTGAAGACAGTATTTCCATTCCTTTCCATTTATTTTTTTTTTTAACTATTGCAATTGATTGTCTTTTCAAATAAAAGAAAAAAATCCCTATTGCCTTCCAAAATACCTTTTTAGTTTTTATATGTATGGAAGAAACTGGAAGGATAGTCTTAGATCAGTGTTCTGGTTAAAATCCAATTCAATTAAACATTAAATGTTTTAAAAACCAAGTTCCTTATGGCTTGTGCCTGTGATCTTGGCTACACGGGAGAAGGCTAAGATCCAGAACACTGTGACACAAAACCAGACTAGGCAGAAAAGTCTAGGAGACTCTTCAAAATAAACAACAAAAAGCTTGGCTGGAGGCATAGCTACAATGGTAGAATACTAGCCACACAAGCTCAAAACCCTGAGTTCAAATCTCAATACCACCAAATAATATACATGGTGACAAAGCTCCCAGCCTCTTAGCCCATGGCATTACTTTTAAAAGTATGAAAGTAGCAATTGTTTATCCAAGAAATACTTTGCAAGAGTTCTGTGAGTTCCGTATAAGTTATTAGAAATACAGTGATGAAGCACAGATACTAGGTCTTACACTCCTGACCTTATTTAAATTGTCTCTTAAGTAAAACTGAGAAAAACACAAGTGATTAAAATGTCACACACATCAGTAATTGGAGAACTGCCAAATGTATAGTATTCGTTGAGATTTGTGGTCAGCCACAGACACAGGTCTTGTCATTCCTTTCCAATGGCAGGTGCCTTCTGTCAAAGGCTCCTGTTCTCCTAGCATCTGCCAAAGTCAGTTCACATGTTCCTTGTTATACACAGGCCTGGATGCTCCCCGGAATCTCCGACGCGTCTCCCAGACAGACAACAGTATCACCTTGGAATGGAGGAATGTCAAGGCAGCCATTGACAACTACAGAATTAAGTATGCACCCATCTCTGGAGGTGACCATGCAGAAGTTGATGTCCCAAAGAGTCAACAAGCCACAACCAAAACCACACTCATGGGTGAGCCCTATTTGCACAGTCAGGTGTTCCTAGGGGCCCTCAGAGGACAGGGATCTGCTCCTACATGTCCCCCATTTTAGAGTGACCCACAGGGAAGTAAGCCTAGTTCCTAGGAATTTCTCTCACTTGGACCACAAGCAATATAACACCACATTCTAGACACTGAGAAATCACAGTGTGCAGAGACCAGTCCAGAGCTGCCAGTAGGGATCGTCCAAAAGCCTTTCTACTTCCAGCCTCCTCTCACCCTGCACATCCTCTCATAGGTCTGAGGCCAGGAACTGAATATGGGATTGGCGTTTCTGCTGTGAAGGAGGACAAGGAGAGCAATCCAGCAACCATCAATGCAGCTACAGGTGAGGCACACCTGGAATTCCCATGATGACCACACTGGTTTTTATCACACCTGTAGGGCTGTGAGGCCAGCCCTGCGGTGGAGATGCAAACTCATCCACACGGATGCTTCCACAGCCACTTCCCTCCATCCCTCTCTGCCTAATCCTGTTCATCCACTGCTACTATTTCATGAATTCTGCATAAATGGAATCCTATTTGTATTGGTCCATTCTGTACTACAACAAAAGTACCCTGCATTAAGTACCTTATAAATTAAAGTAATTTATTTCTCATAGGGTGGAGGCTGGAAAGCACCAGGTCAAGTTGCTAACAAATTCGGTGAGGACCTTCCTGCAGGTTCAGGGAAATGTCTTTTTTTTTTTTTTTTTGGGTCCGGTTGTGGGGCCTGAACTCTGGGCCTGGGCACTGTCCCTCAGCTCTTCAGCTCAAAGCTAGCGCTCTACCACTTGAGCACCACTTCTGGCTTTTTTTCTTTTTGCTTATGTGGTGCTGGGGAATTGAACCCAGGGCCTCATGCGTGCAAGGCAAGCACTGTACCACTGAGCCACCCTCCCAGCCCGAAATGTCTGTCTTTATGCCATGTCCTTCCATGTCAGAAAGGGACCAGGATCTCCTCTGGGCTCTTTCCTTATGAAGCCACTAGTTCCATTCACAAGGCCGCTCAAAGATTCCCACATCCAAATACTATCAGTTTGGGGATTCAGTTTCAAAATACAGATTTTAGGGAGACACAAATATATCATCCATACAAAATGGTCTATCACCTTTTGAAACTACCTTTTTTCTTCTGCCATAAATCTTTCGAGATTCGTATCAATTGTTTCTTGTACATAGCTTGGTCCTTTTAAATGTTTGTTGTGTGTGTGTGTGTGTGTGTGTGTGTGTGTGTGTGTGTGTGTGTGTGTGTGTGTGTGTGTGTGTGTGTGTGTGTGTGTGTGTGTGTGTGTGTGTGTGTGTTGTTTGTTTTTATGCTGGTACTGGGGCTCGAACTCCAAGACTCATTCTGATCCCTTTGCTTTATGCTCAAGGCTGAAGCTCTAGTATGTGAGCCATACCGCTGCTTCTGGCTTCTTTTGTTTTCTTTTTGTTTTGTAATTTTTTTGTTTTGGGTTTTGCTAACTAGAAATAAGAGTCTCACAGATTTGTCTGCCTAGGCTATCTCTGAACCATGATCTTCAGATCTCAGCCTCCTGAGTAGATAGGATTACTGGTATGAGCTACCCAGGAAACATTTTGTAGTATGGATATGCCACTACATTATTTTTAAGCTTCCAAAATCCAACCAGTAGTTAAGAGTAGGATAGAGCAAAATAGGCTGAGGTAGAAACTGAGGGTCAGAGAAGTGACTATCTTGAAGGCACACAGCCCCTCATCAGCAGTCTAGGATTCCAGCCCAGAATCTGGTGACCTTCCGCCCTACCAGCACCTGTACCTCCCAGCCTTATGAGTCTTCCTCTTTTGTTTTTCTCCCAGACATGGATGCACCCAAGGACCTCCAGGTTTCCGAAACAACAGAGAACAGCCTGACCCTGCTCTGGAGGGCACCACTGGCCAAGTTCGACCGTTACCGCCTCAACTACAGCCTATCTACAGGCCAGTCAGGAGAGGCCCAGCTGCCGAAGGACACCACATCCTATGTCCTAACAGGGTTGCAACCAGCGCAGGAATACACCATTGTCCTCACAGCCGAGAAGGGCAGGCACAAGAGCAAGCCGGCACATGTGAAGGCATCCACTGGTGAGTTGCCCTGAAGCACCTAACCACCTTCTTACCCTTTGGTGACTCTGATTTGCAGAGTACTGCAGTCAGGCTGAGAGACCCAGATGGTAAATGTACGGCTTTCTCTACCCAGGAAGTCCTTAAATGCCACTTCGAAACAGCTGCTTCCTTGTCTTTCCTCCTGATTAACTTGTCCTCTTGGCAACGGAGGGAGCCAAGTTCCCTGGCAAGACAAAGTGGTTTTTAACTATTTCTTCCTAGGACAGCTTATGGCATCAGGTTCATTCGTCCTTTTTTTGTTGTTAATTCTTGTTTCACAGTTACTTTTAAATTGTTTCTTTCTTCTTTTACACCTAACCATGAGTTACTTTCTTTTCTTAGACAAGAGTGGGATGCTAGTAATCATCCTCTGGTTATTTTTCCAGGAAACGGTTTTTATTTCAGGTCCCTTGCTTTCTTAGAAGGTGACCCTGATGACTCACACGTGGTCCCCCGAGCCTCCTGCCCTTCTCATGCTCTTCTTCCTCTTAGTCCTGCAGAGGTTCACCTGGTCTATCCTGGTTCACCCTGCCTGCCAGTGTCTCTTGTACCCTCCACACTGGATTTGCTACCATGTTTCCTCAGGAGCTGAGTGGAAGAGAATCAGAAAAACAAACAAAATCAAAAAAGAGATTTTGTTTTTGTTTTTGTTTTGTAAAGCAACACATTCAGAGTTTGCCACTGAGCACTGAAGAAATGTGGATGTGAAATAGTACTTCTGCAGGGTTTGGCAAGAGATGGTCTTAACTTCCAATTTAAATAGTTTTCATGAACTGAGCACCTGCTGACAGGCTGATGTTTGAGGGGAAGGTGTCATGCAGATTGTACAGTTAGGTACAGTAGAATGCCCCTGCTCATGGTCCCTGAGACAGACCAGATACCTACGGTGTGAGGCAGAGCCCAATCACGGAAAAGATCAGGGGATCAAAAGTCAGGAGCATCTGGCAAAGGCATCCTACTTGACAGAGATGTCACCTCAGCTGAGCCTTGATGATTCAAAAAGGGATTGCAAGAGATGTATGTAGAAATGCCCTTCACAAATATCTTTAGCCAAGTAGAATTTTCCAGTCATTCATAACCACTTATGTAAGATAGAAGTTATTTTCCTCTGTTATAAAAAGAATCCAGGTGGTTTGGGGACAGCACAGTAGTTTCAAATAATCAGAGACCTGAGCTACTTCTGGCTTTTTGTTTTACCATTCTCAGACCTTGGCTTGGATTCCCAAAGTCACCTCAGTGTCACAATATAGCTGCTATAATATTGTCATTCCCTCTGTGTTCTAGGCAAGGGGGAAATAGGGCTGAAATAGGGCTACCTGCTAGATGAACCTTCCTGGAACCCAGTAATCATGTCTCTCCTTGCATCACTGGCCTTTCTTAGCTTTAAGTGAGACTAAGTGAAGTAATCCTATGTCTGAACGTGCTGTTAAACACATACTATCATAGTTGCTTTTAAGGAAAGGGAAATTTGGTGGGCAAAGATCAGTCTCTGCCAGAGTGTTTGAAGTGAGCCTAGATGATCTGTTTTGCTGATCATGCAGGGACAGCTTCCCACTTAGCCGTGAGATGATTGCTAAGGTTGCTCAGGAGGGGAGAGCATTTACTCAAAGGTGGGCAGAGGCCAAAGAGAATCAAATTCTAAAGCAAAGATTTGAATCTTTCAGGGCTATAAACACAGGTTATAAGGTCAGGGAAGGGGTAACATTGTTCAAAAAGCAATGTACCCTTCATCTGCCTTATATAACTGTAACCCCTCTGTACATCACCTTTATAATAACAATTAAAAATACTCGAAAGAAAAAAGAAATCCCTCTCCTTTCTTATCTTTCCCTCTCCTGTAATCCTTTCTTGTGTCCTTCCTCTGCCTTCTACGTTTAACAAATGCTACATCAGAGAGACTCTCAACAATCAGAACTTCAAGCGACAGCCATCCTCCCTCTTTTCTCCAGTGGGGAAGGCAAGGCCTTAGTGGCTCAGGAAAGGAGAAGCTTCCTGTTGGACCACAGGCTGGAGTTCCTATCTCTGTCTAGGCATCAGGACTGGCATTGCAAAGCCTTGGCACCAGCATCTCCCACACCACACCTCCTTAATGCTATTTCAAAGAGACCATATTCTATATTCGAAGATTGCTCACTACAGGAAAAAAAAAAATGGGCAAAGTCATTTGTAATGGCTCTTCCTCATTATCTCCAGAATATGCCACTCTGGCGTTCTTTCCAGAACAGTTCATTAAAAGTATAGTAGATATTTCTTTCCATCTCTTGAGTTCTTTCTCAAAAACCCAAGTCTTCTGTGTCTCCCAAGCCAATACCACACTATAACCAAACTTAATGTTAAGTTCTGAAGTTTCTAGAGCAAAGAAGACATGTGATTCCCAAGAGCTCCTGTCCACAGCACTGTGCTCTGAATGATCAGGGTGTGGCTGGGAAAATGGAATCTACCAGCAGAAAGCCAGAAATGGCTTAAGATGGGAAGAATCTCGAATGCAGTATTCCAGGGCCAGAATTTCCATTGAGCCCTCTGGTCCTTTGTTTCTACCTCTGTATTATCTTCCTCAAGAACTAAGGGAAAAGGAAGAGAAAACATTTCACTGAAAAGTTTTTAATTCAGCTTAATACAAGAAAAAGCAGAAGAAAGGAAAAGAGTAAAGTAGAGAAAAGAAGGGAAGGGAGGAAGAGGTAAAAGATACTCTCCCTGTTAGTGATGAAGGAAATTAGTATGTGCCAGGCTCTACCTCTCTATTTCTGCCTCGTTATTTCTCCTTTCCCTCTTTCACTTCCTCCCTGTCCTTCCCACCTCTTTTCCATCTTTTCCTTATCTTCTTTCCTCTCTTCCCTTTATCCCCTTTTCCTTCTCTTTGCATTTAAATTCTGAAAATCCAATTGAACTCTGCTTAAGGACAAGGCCTCTGGGAGCCATAGAAACATGAATCACAGACCATAGCTTGAATACAAGGACAACGGAACACCTTTTCCACAGCACTGTAGGATTCAAGAGTGATATTCCAGAAATTGGCATGAATTTAGAAGGCAGAAAAGTGAAATCTCATTTTTTTTTTACAGCAACAGGCATTAGAAGACATTGTCCTCTGATTTGCCAATGTGTCTCATGGAGCAGGCTAAAACTTATTAAATATGTATCTTTCAAGAAGTATTTATTTGAGTTAGGAAATGCTCTTAGGTGCAGGGAACAACACAACAGACGAAATGGTGGAGGCTTCAATGAGGTAGAAAGAATTATATTAAGAACTACAGCAATGTCTTACAGGGGCAGCTAGAAGCCACAGGAGACTAGAGGCAGGTCCCTATCCCATATCTGGCAAAGGGAAGGAAAATCTCAGAGAAGTAATGGAAGAAATGATGCTTGGATAAGCCCTTGTAAAGGAAAACGGAAAGAAAGCCATGGCATTTCCAACAGGAAGGACCACATCTGAAAGGCTCAAAGACACAGGAAGTTAATTTTTGTGCAAGACAACCATGCAGTCTACCTAACAGAGAAAGTGGAGCTCAGGACTAGAAACATTTGCAAATGACCTCTAATGTGATGCTCAAGGCCTTGGTTTTCATTGCTGATAGTTACAAGGAGGCACTAGAAAGTTTTAAAGCAGTTGAGATTTTATGTTTTAATTATTTTATCTCTACAAGAGCTTTATTCCATTTCGTCTACTTTTGGGGGTCTTCAGGCTTGGATTTGATCACCCCTCAGTGGAGGGAGAATCCATCTTTCTCCCATGAGAGAGAGTTTTTTCATTGTGCCTGTTTTGGTAATTAGCATTGACAGGGTGGGAATCTAAACATCGGACATGGGTACTGCCAGAAATTCCTCCAGGCCAGCTGCTCAACCCACTATAAGCACCGACATCAAATTTCAAAATTCTGATTTCCCAGGCCTACTGACATTGTTCAGAGGGTAGATTCCAATGCACAGCTGTAAGAAAAAGACAACAGCCTTTTCATCAAGAAATGCCAAGAGAGTCAGTGTGGAAGTGTACAATGAGAACCCTTGGCTTCTGGGGCAGGAAGGCCACAGTGTGTCATTTGCTATGGAAATGTAGAGCCAGCACTTATGGGAAGCTTCTTAAGTCTCTAGCTCTACTCCTATCTGCTGTGTTTCTATTGATCATTTTCTTTTCACAATTCTAATTCCAGTCTCTTTGTTATGTATTGATTTTATTCACAAAGGAAGTTGTATCTTTTGCCACTCTGAACATCTGTTAAGTGGAAGAGTTGACCAGATGCCAACTGTATCCCATGTAAACCTGACCACATGGTGGTCAGTGTCCTTTCCTGATTTATTTACCAAAAAACAAAAAAGTGGAGGAACAGCCAAAACTGTTGACATGATTCTTACTGCTTAGTGACTAAACTGGTACAACACGAACAAATGAAATAACCTGGGAGGGTCATTGCTTAAAAGCATCAATGACATATTCAAAAGCTGATTCACAGAGCTTGAATTATTGTCCCCAGAAAGAATTTTGAATCTCCTTTCTATCCATCATTACTATAACAACAGTTAAGTAACTCTCCCACATCATTTGCAAAGTGGTAGATAGATGGATGGATAGATAGACACACAGACAGACAGACAGACAGACAGAATGTTATACTTCAATGTCATACTTAAGGATAAGCCTAAAACAAAGATACCTGGAACAGAAATAAGAGGAAAAGAAAAGAGAGTTTGAGAACCCTAAAGATCAAAACAATTAGTTTTGCTTAGTTTTGGGTTTGCCTTATTTCTCTTTATGTATGGGGGCTGCTGGAACATATAAAGACATGCTCCTGAGTTTACTTATGCTTAAGCCCCAAGGTCAAGGACGTAATTGTTGTATTTGGAGACCCTTTTTCCTAGCTTCACATAGTTCCATTGTTTCAGAGTATCTTGGCCCTCCTTTCTTTTCTTTAAATCTAGAGTTCAGGGCCTCTCCTTCTCATAGAGGCCATGTGAAGATGGCTAAGAACTGCTCTAAAGACTTGGATATGAGCATAAGGGATAAAATGGGATTAAATGAAGAGTCCACAGCGTGTAGTTCAAGCTCAGGCATCACAAACATCTTCTTCACAGGGCAAGATGATAAATATTTTAGACTTTGCAGGCTAATCCCTCTCATGAATATACAGCTAGCTGTGCCACTGTAACACAAAAGTAGCCATCAGTGATGTCTAAGTGAGCAAGTGTGGCTCTATTCCAATAAAACTTAAGTTTATGACACCCCAAATTCAAATTTCACTTGATTTTCATGTATCATGAAATATCATTCTTCTTTGCATTTTAAAAAAAAAGTCACCATTTAAAAATTTAAAAGCTGATGTCACCATTCTAGCTACAAACTAGTCAGAAGGTCAGATATGGTCGTTAGGTTATAGTTCATGTATCTATATCTATGTCCTACATCAAAGTAAAGCTAAAGAAATTTTAAGGACTATAAGCTTTTCCAGTATGAAGTAACAGAAAGAATATTCTCGAGAATCTAGAAAAGTCAAAATTAAATAGACTCCAACAGAGAAACTTTACCCTGCTGATAGGGGTCTTCAATCAGATTGCAAGTTAACATTTTTAGAGTTCAAAGGCTGCATTCATGGACATATAGGGCTCCCTGGAAATTAGCAACAAAGACGAGGCATAAATAGAAAGAAGACTTGATCTTTCAAATAAACAAAGGCAGTTCCTAGTCTCTCTCTTGTTTATAGGATCCATTTCCAGAGAAATCCTTTGTTCTGAGGTCACACAAAGTCCACTTAACTCAGCCCTGGGCCAATGAACTCTTTAATTAAGATTCAGACAAGTGAGATTCTGCTTCATGTCTATGTTCAAGAGATGGAAAAGGATGAGGCATTCTGGGTTATTTTTCACATTTTGTTTTTATTAGCATCACTCATTTGAACAAGGGGATTTCCTTGTGACATGCCCATATATGTCTACTTGATCCAACTCACCCATCACTCTCTCCTTTCTCCTACTCCATTGGCCAAACTAATTTCAATAAGCATCGTAGTTCCATTTTCATATGTGTATATAAAATAGTTCAGCTATTTTCAAATTGATCTTATTAGTAAGCTCTGTTTCTCCCAGGACTTTATGGTCTTTATTTTCTATCCAAAAGGGGACAGTTTTTCAAAAGACTGTCACCTCTCTTACATTATGTTAGTCTTGGTTCTGATCTTTATTGAAGTAGTTGGCGTAAACTGATTTGAACTCCTGAACTGACAAAACTCTCCATATATCTACTATAAGAACCCATCTAGGAAAGACTGAGACACCACAATAAAAAAAAAAGCTAATCTAAGGACACTGCTCAGGTCTCTGGAACCATTGAGAGGCACCCCCTTTGGTGAGGGACACTTTCCAAAATAGAAACTCAGCCATGAAGCACCCCAGCTTAGATGTGTGGTTTATTCCAAACCTGGTCAATAGGAAAATGAATTTTCCAAAGACTGACTAAAAAGCACAGGAGTGCAAATTGAACGTGGTTTTGATTTTTCTGTTGGTAGTTGAATGAGGATGGCAGTACTTATGGGAATGTGCGGGCGGGGGTGGGGTGAGCACACAGTGAGCACACAGACTCCCAGAGCCTTCCAGCACTGGCAGTAGGGTTGCCTTTGCTGGATTATAGGAAGGAAAGTGTCTGGGGGGGAATAGTTTCACTGACGCCATCTCTGTCATTATTCAGAGCAAATCCCTGAGCTGGAAAATCTCACCGTGACTGAGGTTGGCTGGGATGGCCTCACACTCAACTGGACCGCAGCTGACCAGGCCTATGAGCACTTTGTCATTCAGGTGCAGGAGGCCAACAAGGTGGAGGCCACTCAGAACCTCACGGTGCCTGGCAGCCTCCGGGCTGTGGACATCCCAGGCCTCAAGGCTTCCACTCCTTACAGAGTGTCCATCTATGGGGTGATCCGGGGCCATAGGACACCCATACTCTCTGTTGAGGCCTCCACAGGTACTTCCTTCCTTTCTACCTAAAGCTTCTGTTTCTTCCAACAGGTCACTGTCCAAGGATAATCAGACACAAGAGCTTTGGAAGGGCCTTGCTCTACCATGAGCCATAGAGCCATGGGGTCTGATGATCCACAGCCAGGCCAGTGCCAAAGCAATCTTAACATTTCACACCATATGAGCAACACTCTTTGCATGTGGAAAGATCTACAGAGCCACAGAGCCCCATGGGGAGGACTGCTAACTATAAAAACAGGCAACTTTCTGTGAACACTACATTTAAAGAGCAGAAAGAAGGGGAAAAGCCTCACAAAATGTCTGCTCATCCACTGTGGTTTACAGCAATTCCTTATTAAGCTAAGAAAACAAAGATTTTCCCTCCCCTGGTTTTAAAATGGAAAGTTGCATGATGCATGCTCCTCTAAAGGCAGCCACGCTTTTTAAGTGACATTCTTGTATTTAAGATGCCTTGGATCTCGTATGTGATTTCAATGAGTTCTTTCTCCTTCTCCAGGGGAAACTCCCACATTGGGAGAGGTCATGGTGGCCAAGTTGGGCTGGGATGCCCTAACACTCAACTGGACAGCTGCAGAAGGGATCTATGAGCACTTTCTCATTCAGGTGCAAGAGGCTGATGTGTTAGAGGTAGCCCAGAACCGCACAGTTCCGGGAGGACTGAGGTCCACAGACCTGCCTGGGCTCAAAGCTACGACTCGCTACAGAGTCACCATCCGCGGGGTCACTCAGGACTTCAGCACAGCCCCTCTCTCTGTTGAGGTCTTGACAGGTATTCTAGACCAGTGCACACCTCTACTTCGCCTTCCTTTTCTCTGCTAGAGGGATCAAAGCTCTAAACTGGGTTTAGCACCTGCTATATGGGGAAAATGCCGATGAATCATCTCCGCCTCTTCTTCCCAAATGTCATACCCCTTATTTGGCCAAGCCCTGGTCATAATCTAGTAGCCACTTCCATGGAAAATTCCACCTTCTCTTTCTTCACAAAAGTGAGAGGTGATTTTTCTTGCAAAATGAATTCCAGCCATAATACCTAAGGAGTTGGAAAGCCCAATCTGTAAGTGAAATAGAAAAAAGAAAAATAGCGCTGAGCTCATTTAAAAAATACTAAAAGATTCCCCAAAGCCCTATTTGTGTGTCAAGAATGGAAGTTGTGAACAATTCCTAAAACCACATTTCACTCCCACAGGCTGAGCAGAAAAACCCAGCTTTAGTGCCAACAATCAGACTGTGTCTCAACATCACCCTCAATCATTCATTCGTTGTCAACACTAACCAGACATCCCATCTTAGCCTTAGCCAAAACACCATCTCACCTGAACCCCAGCATGCAATGGGCTTTTGTTTTTTTTAGTAACTCAGCCACTCTATGTCCTTCTGCAGAGGAGGTTCCAGGTCTGGGAAACCTCACAGTGACCAAGCGGGGCTGGAGCGCCCTCAGGCTGGACTGGACCACACCAGATGAGACCTATGACCAGTTTATCATTCAGGTCCGGGGCGCTGACCAGGTGGAGGAGGCTCACAATCTCACCGTTCCTGGCAGCCTGCGCTCAGTGGAAATCCCAGGCCTCAGGGCTGGCAGTCCCTACACAATCACTCTGCATGGAGTGATCAGGGGCCACAGCACTCAACCTCTTGTCTTGGAGGTCATCACAGGTATATGTCTCACCTTCCACCCCAGAGATGTGAAAGCAGCCATTCTGTCTCTGGAATGGAAAAAAAAAAATCCCCATGTGTCAGGAGTTCCTACCTCAATGTGCTTGGCAGATAACACAAGTTCTCTAGCTCAGGAAGCCCTGGGTTGAAATTACATCTTGGTGGCTGAATAATGTTGAGTCTATCACTATATCTCAGGCCCTTCTCATGTTCAAATCAGAGATACTATCCCTAGTTTAGGACACTGTTGTGAGAAATACATGAACTAATGATGGAAGTGTTTCACAAAGTGCCCATCATGTAAGGAATAACCATGAATAGTAAACAGCTAAATGTAGAGCTACCATCATGGTTTTAGAAAATAACACAAAAGAGTGGGTAAGCTCTAGAGAAACCATATCATTACTGGTCTTGAAGTCACTAACTCACACAAAACTCCTAGTCAGATGTCTAAGAAGTAAATCTGGGAAATGATATGGTCAATCTTCTTCTAAAATTGCCTAAGTCCTTTTCCTTACCAGATATTAAGGCTAGGACATTTGCAAGAAAGGACAGCACATATGAGTGCAATGTTTCACGCTTGTCTTAGGGAGATAAAACAATTCATCTCAATTTGTCGACTGAAAATATGGTGTTTCATTGATCATGAGTTGTCTAGAAATAGCTTCCAAAGGGGCCTATGGGCCAGATTTGTGGCGCGAAGGTTTTTATGCTTGGCCCTAGGCTCATGCCCCTTCCCACATACTTTGTATTTGGATAAAGTTACCAAAGTATCTAATTCAGATGTACCACATAAACCTGGCCATTCTTTGATAACACATAAATTCCAAAATTAAGAAGCATGATGTAATCATGTACTATGTAGCCAAATTATTAGTGTTGTCATGTTCCTTGAGATATCTTCAGGTCAAAGAAGAGCAGAAAGGGACCTTTAAGACTTGTGAGATCTATAGGGTGCTGATGATCAACATTTTTATTGTGCAAAGTGTTGTCTGCAGCATGAAAACTTCTTTAGCAATAAAATCTCCCAGAGAGCCCCTTTATATGACCGATAAACTGCTACTCTTAGTGAGCTGAGAAGGAGGTGGGAATTCTGCACTGACATAGTTGGAAAACAGACCCTTAAAATGAAGAAGTCACTCAAGCTTTCTTAGCTCACTGGGGTAACTGGGAATAAAAATCCCCCCATCTTTTGTGGGCGTTGGAATCGCTAAACATACATACTTCTCTAGCTTCTAATCCATAACCACTGCAGCTTGAAGGGAAAAGGCTGGGAGATTGCATTTAATCTTGAGAAGCATCTCTCAATGCCAAGGGTTTTTCCATTGTCCAAATTCAGCAATAGCAACTATAATAGCTGTAATAGCTATAATAGTTTCCTCCCCACATAGTAGAAAACAATACATGGCCCCTGCTCTGCACCATTTTCTCAGCAAAACAGCACACATACACACACAGCCTTGCTGTTCATGAACAGTGTTCCTTAAAGTACCAGTCAATGATGGTGGGAAGGCAAAATGCATGCCAAGAATCAAATACATAACCTTGGATCCCTGAAAGCCAAGAAAAGCCTAGCGATAAAACATCGTGCTTGTCCAAACTTGAAACAGTGTTATGTTTTAGAAAACCAAGTGGGTTGCACATGGTCAGCAGTGAGATGTGGTCAATTGCTTTCACATGACTAAACTCCAAGGGGAAACACCTACAGAGTGAGGTTTTCTAAGCTACCACTTAACAAGCACTCACTATGCATTAGACTAAATGACAAAGCCGATAAAGTCTCATCACATAAGCCAATGAAATGGTACTGTCAACTCGACTAAAAGGTGGAGAAAGAGACTGGCAGAAGTCAGCAGATACACAGATGGCAGACAGCAATGTCGGAATCATGATCAACAACAATCTACCTCCAGAGTCTGCACTTTGTGTATGTGTATGTGTGCTAGTCCTGGCTCTTAAACTCAAGGCCTGGGTGCAGTCCCTAAGATTTTTTTTGTTCAAAGCTAAGGCTCTACCACTTGAGCCACAGCTGCACTTTAAGCTTTTTTGGTAGTTCATTGGAGATAATAATTTCATGGACTTTCCTGCCAGGGCTGGCTTCAAACCAAGATTCTCAGATCTCACCTTCTTGAGTAGTGAGGATTACAGGCATGAGCTACCAGTACCCAGCTCAGAGTGTGCACTTTTAAACCATGTTCCTTAACGGGACCCACATTCCTCCTATCTCCCTGTGGCCTTTGGCACACATGCCCAGACTTCCCCCTAGGTTGTGAGCTGACCCAATACATTCTCTTACCATTTAAGGATAAACAATGACCTGACCATTCTCAATCCCTAAAGAAAGCTGTGGCCATAGTACCAAATTTGAACTCATTTTGAAAGTTTCCATGCTCCCTCACTAATACCCAAAGACCAGTAATTACCCATATATAATATATGGAAGAAAGGGAGGGAGGGAGGGACGGAGGATTGGAGAGAGGGAAGAAGGAAGGAAGGAAGGATCTCTCTCCTCTCTCTTCCCAGGAGCTGGGCTGTGGGACATTTGATTTCCTTGGTTTCTGGTTTGCAGCACTGACAAACACTTCTCTGTCCTTCTTTAGAGGATCTCCCCCAACTGGGAGACTTAGCTGTGACTGAGGTTGGCTGGGATGGCCTCACACTCAACTGGACCGCAGCTGACCAGGCCTATGAGCACTTTGTCATTCAGGTGCAGGAGGCCAACAAAGTGGAGGCCACTCAGAACCTCACGGTGGCTGGCAGCCTCCGGGCTGTGGACATCCCAGGCCTCAAGGCTTCCACTCCTTACAGAGTGTCCATCTATGGGGTGATCCGGGGCCATAGGACACCCGTGCTCTCTACTGAGGCCTCCACAGGTACCTCCTTGTTCACTGTCATGCTCTTTTCCCAAGGTCCCTGGTTCCTGTTCCCTCTCCAAGGAATGGCAGGAAACTGCTTCTCTCCATGGCTGAATCCTTTTCGTGTGCCCTGTGGCTGCTGGCCATGCATGCTCAGAGCCCTCCATGTAGACTGTCTTCCTCCAGATGTCCTGGTCATGAGAAAGATGAGCTATGCAGAGGTCGTCCTTTCCAGTCTCCACCTCCCCTCTCTCTCTCTCTGTCTCTGACTCTTCTTCTGTCCCTCTCAGTCTCTCTGTCTCTCTGTCTGTCTCTCTGTCTCTGTCTCTCTCTCTCTTTCTCTCTCTCTCTCTCTGTCATAGTTTACCTGGCCAAATGGCCAAATGGCATCTCCTTGGAATGATGTTTTTTTGTTTCAGACATCAGCCTGAAGATTTAAATTCCCTCCTCCACTATTGACATATAACCAAAGCATACCTTTATGATACATGAATTCCAGTGGAACACAGTTTATTCACTTTAGAGTCTTTTGGCTCTTGAAATGATGATTTACCAGCTTCCCATCCCTCAGGGGTATCAGTCCTGTGAATTTTGCATTTAATACATGTTTCTTTTAAAAGGAAACACACACACACACACACACACAGCCTTTTGAGTGACAAATGTCCAGGCCATGAATACAAATGCACCTACACCTGTTTAGCTGTGTGAATCGAGAGTGAGTTGTCCTCTGGAGTGTTGGCTACTGGCTGGCAAACCCCCAACCTCAGCCCAGCGAGGAAGAATTATATTTTGCTCATCACTCTATTCTGGTGACAAGGCATTCTGTTCTTCCCAAGGAACTGCTAAAGTGAGAGTCTTCCCCTTTTCCATTCCTGTGTTCCATTGCTTATCATTATGATAGGCCCCACTTGGCAAGCTCAGTAGATACAGTGCTGCCTTGATTTGCATGATAATATTTAATTATTTCACCAAATCTCTCACAGTAAACCAAAAGCACAGTTCAACAAGTGAGCCTCTGTCATTTCAGTACAAGTCTCACTGAGATGTTTCATTAAACACTGAGATGTTTCATTGCAGTAAGCGCAAGCTTAAAATGCCTAGAAATCGTAGCTGAGGCTGTCCTGAATGTGCCCTGGGCTTTTTGTTTTTTAATCTAATAACCATAAACCATCCCTTCCCCAAAAGGCAGAGCCATCACCTGCCACTTCTGATCTTTCCTGCAGATCTTGTGGCTTGGATGTCAATAGTATTTTTATGTGTGTGTTTGTCTTTGTAGTGATAGCAGCCTTGCTTCTGATGAGTGGATCAAGAGGAAGGCAGGCCCATACTTCATCTGATCCATGTCTCAACCCATCAGTTGGGATAGTCTCCAAGTTGTAGGGTCTTCTTTCCTACAGAAATAGGACTAGATTTTAAGTCCTTTGCCAACCTGGCCTATGCATGTTTCATTCCTGTTGCTCAGAAAAGCACTGGCAGGACATCTCAAAGACAAAGTATTATTTCTTGGCTCAAAAGTTTTGTCTGAACTGCCTTGTCTTGGCTTACCTCCCTTGGTTGGCAATACAGTGCTAGCCTTCTTGGCCCACAGAGACACAAGAGGGACAAGCTATCCTAGTGAAATGTGAGAATGTGAGCTCTGATCTGAAGTATGGAAAAAATGATAACAATTACCTTGAGAAATTGGCCAGATCAGAAGCCGAAAGGTACCACTTTGGGAGGACAATGTGTCAGAATGATTTAGCTCTCATTTGAATAGATGGGTGTGCTCATTCAAAGCAAAGGACGTCTGAGGAGGCACCCAAGAAACCTCCATCTCCTAGAGACTGAAAGCTGTCAGCTCTCATATCTTTTGACCCACAACCAGTGAACCTGAGGCAGGGCTCAGAGAGTCAGGTACAGCTAGGACAAAGCAGCTCCGACTCAAGCCATCCACCATGGCTTCTCTCTCAACGCATCTTGCTAAGTCTGACCATGCATGGCAAGTGCAGAGCCAGGAAATCTAATTGCCATAGCTTCCTTTTTGAATGTTTCCCTTAACAAAACCCCTTTTCTCTCTCATTGGCACTGAATGGTAGCATTGCTTCATTTCATCCTAACCTTGAACTACCTCATCTTTCTCCCCAGAGATGGTCCTATTAACCACCTCAGTCATAAAACACAGACAAATTATTAATAAGAATTTGTTTCTTCTCTCCTACCCTCCCCGCTTCTTTTTCAGTCAAAGAGCCTGATATTGGAAACTTAAATGTTTCCGACGTAACTCCTGAGAGCTTCAATCTCTCCTGGACAGCGACTGATGAAATCTTCGAGACTTTTACCATTGAAATTATTGATTCCAATAGGTTGCTGCAGATGGTAGAATATAATATATCTGGTGCTGAACGAACTGCTCACATCTCAGGGCTCCCCCCTAGTACTGATTTCATTATCTACCTCTCTGGGCTTGCTCACAGCCTCCGGACCAAAACCATCAGTGCCACAGTCACTACAGGTACATGAGCATTCTCTCCTTTCTGACACTTCTTTCTCTCCACAGGCTTCTTTGCAGGCAGAAACTACTCCTTCTCCTTGCCCATTGGAGTATAAGCCAAGGAAATGATAGTTTCCTTAAGTCGTTCAAGACAAGAGGCTGAAGGGCTATTTAACATAACTTTCTTCCAACAGCAGCCCAAATGGAGTATTTGAATAAAGCCTCCTGCCAGGGTTTATCACTGGGCAGAATATTTACTTCACAAAATGTACTTTGGTCTAGCTTCCCATTACAGAGTCTGGAGAAAAGAATTCTCCCTTTTGGTTACTGAAAAGCTAAAATGACAGTTGTTCTTAGCTTGGAAAGGTTTTGTCACCAAAGAGATCTTGAAGGTTCTATTTTTGTGTAATCCTCCTGTCTTTGTCTTCCTGAAGTCTTGAGTATCCTCATTCCAGGATATTCTAATGACTGAAGGAAATCATTGAGAGCATTTAATTTTGTTTCAAACTGAGAAGATGAAGAGAAAGAACAAGGGTAACTCACCAGATGAAAGCACAAGGTAGCTACCCTCAACTTTAACACTACCTCTAGCTGGTGTTTGTCCTTGGAATAGTGAACGCTACATGGCTAAAAGAGAATAGTCCTATTCACACAAGGATTTTGGTTTATACAGTGGCAAAGTACTCTCACTTGAAATCTGTGCTGTCTGTGGTATTTATACATGATTTCTGCCATCCAACTGAAGAAAAGTCCCAATTGAACTTAGGAAAGAATGAGTTGACAAGTCAAAATAGCACTTACACACAGTGTCTTAACAGATACACTAACATCACAAACTGAACAATACACATCTCTAGAAGAAAACCAAATATTTTCCTTCGAGATTCTCAGTTCCTTAGGAAACTAAGAAAAAGATCCACACTCTAGCATCAACATTATCACTGAAGTCACCATGGCTGAGGGAGAATCTACCTTCCTTCTGCAAGTTGAGACTGCAAGTTGTATTCAAGGTGGTTCCTAGAAGGAAGGGAGCCAGCAATATCTGGTTCCAAGCTCAGCCAGAAACTGAGGGGAGAAAATTAGTCAGTTTAGTTTTCAACAAAGGACAAGTTCTTTTCCAGGAAGGTGGAGTCTAAAGCGCTGCGGAGTTAGTGCTATGTGTTGGATTATTGAAGTGCAATGGTGCTGTCACTTGAAATGCTTTCATACGTTTTCTTCTTGCACTAGTCACTGAACCTCTCCTTAGTCAATTCACTGTCTCCCATGTGACCTGGGGCAATGTGTCTATCTTGTGATAAGCTCAGAAGCCCGACTTGAATAGCTTTCTTGTAGAAGCTAGTCATTCTGCAGTGTCTCCATCTCATGGAAAGCTCAGGAACCTGACTTTGATAGCTTTCTTATAGAAGACAGTCATTCTGATCAACCCCAGGAGACTTTGGGGCAAGCCGAAGCTCCATCACCACCAACCTCAACAAAGCCTCTTCCAATTACATTGCCCACCTTCACAGGTTAATTGGCAGGGGGTGTGCTCAGACCCTGATGGTCCAAGCACCCACAAGTGTCTCTTCTAATGGACTCCACTCTCCATTGAACTTCTCTGAATAGGCATCTAAAAATCTACCACTACCCACTTTCCATCCTTCTAGTTCTTGAATTTGATAGAGCCAACAACATCAGAATTTTAAACCTTTCACTCACCCCAAATTAAGGAACTTCAGTGTCTGACATCTTTTTTCTCCCCTAAACATCCACTCCCCTCTGGATTACTCTGTTTGTTTAGAGTTAACATGACTTGCTTGGTTTGAATTTCTAAACCATCCCCTTTCCTCTGATCTGGAATAATCTTTTCCAGTACCAACCATTATCATCTCTCTGTGGTCTTTCTAATCAAAGTTTTCCTGGGTCACATTCAAAGAAATGTGTGCATGCCAAATGGTTTGCAGTCTCCTTTCTACTAGGATTTTTTAAATAATGGTGACCCCAGCATGCTGAGACCAGACTTCAAATCACTGCCCAAGAGCCACATGAGAAATCCTAGTGGTCACATCTTGTTCTTATTTTTTTTTTCATTAGTCTGGGTTTCCTATAGACAGACAGCTAGTCCCTTTTTCACATTTACTCCAGCAAACATGTGTTGTCACCCACTGATTGCTGTTCCAAAGGGTCAGCATGTGCCTTCCATCCATTGTTTTGTGAAAATCTGGATGCATGTGGTAGATATTCAGATCATTACACTTTTGAACATGTCTATCTTTCCTGGAAGTTGGCAACATATCAAGAAATTGTTTCAAAGGGTTAGGAGTGAGGAAAGAAAAATGTCCCTTGCTTGCATGGACCTCTCAAGCACAGCCTAACTAGCATCTTCTTTCTGAGTTTTTTTCCCCAGCATCTCATCATTGCAGCTTGTTTGTATATTCTGAGAGTTGATAGAAGGGAAGGTAAAACTAATCAAGAATCTAAGTCTTACTCTGCCCAGTAAATATGTCAATACTGCTTTCCTTTGGTTGCATGAGAGAGGACAATCCCAGCATGTATACTTAATCAACAGACTGATTTCACACTTAATTATAGCAAAAGGATCAAATTCCATTTGGATGCTTTATTGCAAATGTTATAACTGAACATTGCAACAGCATTAACTTCGCAAACAAATTGACAATTTGGCTCTATACTGCTTCTCAATCAGATTCTTTAGTCTGAAAGATTATAGAGCAGCACAATATAGTGCAGTTAAAGTTTGTCCAAATGAACCCTTTCTTTTCTCTAGATAGTAGAGCTAAAACAAACCACTTCCAAAATCCTTCAGGAAACTCTTTCTTCTTGACCTTAAATTCTATTACTAATATCTTAATCAGCCAGAAGAATGGCTTCTGTCTAAAATACAATCTAGATTGAGCTCACTTTAGTATCAGTATTTTGTTCATTGTTTTCCAGTACTGGGGCTTGACCTCAGAGCCTGGGTGCTGTCTCTTTGTTCAGGATAGCATTCTACTACTTAAGCCTCAGTTCCACTTCTGGCTTTTTGCTGGTTAATTGGAAAGAAGAGTTTCATGAACTTTATTGGACAGGCTGGAGTCAAATCAGGATTCTCAGCTCTAAGCCTCCTGAGTAACTAAGACTATAGGTGTGAGTCACCAGCACCCAGCACTATTTTTATCATTTGAAAGATGAGCATTTAGGAAGCCAGCCCCATGTATATCTAGGTTAAAACTAGCCACATCAGCCCCTTCCATCAAATGAATTCCTCTCATCATTAACTGCCTAGATTGTCAGGGACAAGAGAAAGATAACGTCAGTGGAATCACCAATCTTTCCCAGTTATCTAACAAGTAAATTCCTTAATCTGAAAATTCAGTGCTTAGCTTCAAGCTTTCCTTTAGCTTTTGCACCTACCAAGAATTTTGAAGTGGAAACCATCTCTGCCTTAAAAGATGAGGATAAGATATAGATTTTCCTATGATGCATATATGTCTACAAAGCCCTTGGTTCAATCCTTTGCCATATGGAAACCAAACAAATAATAACAAAAAATAAATAAATGCCTTCAAAGAGGAAAGAATCTAGACTCTGTTTAGGATTGGAGATGTGGCTAAAGAGGCAGAGTACTTGCCTAGCAAGCTCAAGGCCCGAGGTTCAAACCCCAATACAAGAAAAGGGAAGAGGAAAGGACATGTAAGGAAAAGAGACATGACAGGTTTGGGCATGTAGCTGGGTAGCGGAATGCTTGCCTAGCATTCAGGAATACTCAGGTTAGGTCCCCAGTATTGCAAATAATAAATAAACCCAAATAAAAATAGTAGAGTTATAGAGTTACAACTTCCCTAGTATTTGCAAGAGACAATTAGATATATATTTTTATGTAAGATTAAAAAGTGGCTCTTTTTTCTGTCAAATTATCAAATGTGGATTAATTTAGGTAGGATAGCAATAAGAACTTGGGAGGGGTAGGAGAAGTCAGTGTGAAATGAGCCTCATTGCCCTAGGAGAGAGGGCTATAAATCTAATCCCATTAGGCCCTTGTTTCTAGCCTCCTGCAGGACTTCTCACTGAATAGAGAAGAAAAAAAGGGCCCAAAGTACTGCTTCTCAGGAATTCTAGATCCAGTTACAGTATTATCTCTACTACTCCTTGATATGAAAAGACTGCATCTTAAAAGCAGCAGCTTAAAAAAGAAAAAAAAGGGGGGGCTGAGAATGTGGCTTAGTGGTTTAGTGCTTGCCTAGCATACATGAAACCTGGGTTCAATTCCTCAGTACCACATAAATAGAAAAAGCCAAAAGTGGTATTGTGGCTCAAGTGGTAGAAAGCTAGCCTTAAGCAAAAGCAGCTCAGGGACAGTGCCTAGGAACTGAGTTCAAGCCCTGGGACTGGCAAAAATAAGAAAAAGTACAAACAAAAAGGACTGGGGGGAGGGGGGGGAGGGGACTCTTGACAACTAATTAGCCTGAAAGCAGGATGCTTTGAAGGACAAAAAGACACTTAATCTAAATAAAACCAGCCACAGAATTTAAGAACTCTTGTTTCACAGACCAATAGGACTACTTGCCCAGTATATGGAATTTCATCGTTATCTTTGATAGAGTTGATGATTCTTTGGAAATCTTTACATGAAAAAAAATGCCTCAAAAATAAACTTCACTGTTTCACAATAAACACAGGAAACGTAAGCTGCTGCAACATTTAAGTGTCTGCTTAGGGGTGAGAGCATTCATTCGCTATTCATTCCTTTAAAACATTTTCCTTCATATCCCATGGATTTGACCCTAAGCATTAGTGCAAGGTCACTTATCTCTTTGAAAATTCCTATTTAGCTGCAATGGGAATGAAGGTTCTGAACTAGAGGCTGCTAAGGAGCCTTGGCCAAGGAATTCCCATCCTTTCCCTCTTATAACACAGAAACATGTTCAGCACTAGTGAGTGTTGTTTTACTGGAGAGGCGGGACTTACTGAGTCCTCTCCACCCAACCTGCCTATGCCTCAGGACTCAGCACCACTTACTAATTAGATGTTGGCTGGGGATGTGGAAAGAATATAAAACTTGAGAATTGAAGACACTGTTGGACACCAGCTTAGCCATCCAAACAGATATGTCATCTTGGATAGCTCGTGTGTTTTTGTTTTTTGTTTCTATTTCCTTAGATGTCATAGAGGTTGGGGCTAGGTAGTAATGCCACCCTTTTCAACATCACTGTGACAATTAAATAAGAAAACAAACATGACACCTCCTCTGAAGCTAAGTACTGAGCAAAATATAGCTGATCCAAGCTCCCTCTTTGGGAATCCCAGTATGTGACAAAATCCCTTGGCATCTAAGGAATAAGAGTGACTGGCACACAGCTATTAGGTGAATGAATGAACAAAGAAATAATAACAGAACTTTCTTACGGTCTAGAGATATCTTTACTTTCTACATTTATCCAGAAAAATAAATAGCAAAAGAACTGGCAAATCTTAGAATTCTTTCCTAAGCTGTAAACATAAATTGTTAATCTGTCTAGATAAAAATAACCGTCTGCCTCCTCTTAGCCTAGGAAGATGCGTCACTAATTGGCCTAATTGACCCAATTCAGAATATGAACTAGAAGTGGAATAGAAACATGTGAAGTATACAAAAGCAAAACAAAAACAGATTTGCTTCAAGGACAGAAGTAGGCATGAGGCCCAAACCCAACACAAAACAAGACATCCTATTTCTAAAATAAGAGACTTTAGAATCAGGCCAAGTCAATTGACTTTGTTGAGATTAAGTTTGGTCATGTGGAAGTGGAAATAATACCTACTTCCTCATCATTTTAAGGGAATTATTCTAGGTAACACTATCTGTCACCTGAAAAGTTCATCCTTAAGATTCGTTTTCCCAGCATGTAACACAATGGGATGATTGACTGGTTATCTATGAGTGTTCTTGCAGTGTACACTGTCCTGGCAGAATCATTGCTGTTAACCTGAGTTCTTTTCACCCCCTCCCTTCTTTCAGAGGCCTTGCCCCTTCTGGAAAACCTAACCATTTCCGACATTAATCCCTACGGGTTTACAGTTTCCTGGATGGCATCGGAGAATGCCTTTGACAGCTTTCTAGTAACCATGGTGGACTCTGGGCAGCTGCTGGACCCCCAGGAATTCATACTTTCAGGAACCCAGAGGAAGCTGGAGCTTAGAGGCCTTATAACTGGCATTGGCTATGAGGTTATGGTCTCTGGCTTCACCCAGGGGCACCAAACCAAGCCCTTGAAGGCTGAGATTGTTACAGGTATTTCAATTCAAGTGAACCATTCTTTCCTCCTGTAGTCCCTCCTCTTCCATGTGGTCTGTCTATAGTAGCATCATGATTTTAACATCATTGTCCATCTTCCCCACTTACGCTGTGGATAGGAGGTGTTCTTCCTTGTGCTCTTCCTACTTGTGTGTCTAATGAGCAACTCCCTATTCCCATCCCAGAAGCGAGAAAGTGGAATGTTTTCTGTTGGTGTCCCAAATTCCTTAGCCTACATCTCAGCCATAGTCCTTGTATGCCTGCTCCCTTCCCCTTCCCCTTTGTCTTCATCCTGGGTGGTCCCCCAGCTACATTTCAACTTTCTGAAAAGAAATATGCAAATGAGTATATTTTGTGAATGTCTTCATCTTTAACTCTATACCATGATCTTCACAAACTTACTCATTGGTCTTGTAATTGGAAAGCTACACTGCAACTAATTAAATTGTCAAACACTAGTATCAGAGAGATGCTTTGACACATGAAATCCATCTTTTTCTCAAAACTAAGAGTTCCTAGAGAAAAGCAACATGAGTCTTTGTTTCCCCAAGTCTTCCTAAAGACTACTAGCTCCTTAGATGATTGCTTAGTGAAGAAAGAAGTTCCATGTTCAAACAAGTTTAGGAACAGGACCCTTAACTACAAGACTTTTCAGAACATCCTCCTGATATTTCCCAAACTTCTCTGACAAGGAACCCCCTTTAAGAAAGAATATCCAAAAAGCATAGTTACTTTGGGTACACTTTGGGAAATTCCGTTTCAAATTTACCTTATCTAAGTGCTTATCTAGTGGTAAGAATAGCAAGGAAAGAAAACCAAACAAGAAAGGCAAAAATAGGAACCTTCTTTAGTCTATCAGCTCAGAGAACAAAGCAAAAAGACCACAACATTTTGCAAAGCCGTTTTGGTTGGGCTCAAGAAAAATATAATCAGCAGAATCCTCACAGGCAGCTCTACAGATCATTAACGCTGGTTTATTTGTCTTTTCCAAAAGGAAAGAAATAAGCCTTGTAGTAGATGGGCACTCGGCCACTGGAAGACAGAGAGCAAATGTAAACAAGTTACTGGCTTTGAGCTTGTTTAATAATGCCTGGGAGGGGTCGAGGCTGAATCCAGATGTGGATTTCTAGATCGATTTTAGACAAAGCTCACAGTTGCAAGCACATGGTTGGTTTGTGTTGAGTGTGTCTACTCTGTCCTTTCCCCATCCTGGCTCTACCATGCTCATGAATGTCAAATGATTTCGTTTTCACTATCTCAGGACACCTCTGCCTTTGAAAGCCAGGCGTCACTGCCTCCTGATACCCCACCACCAGAAAGAAGAATATACCCACTGCTATAATGATCTTTTTCCTCCTTCCATCATTTTTTTCTCCCTCTAGAAGCAGAACCGGAAGTTGACAACCTTCTAGTTTCAGATGCCACCCCGGACGGTTTCCGTCTGTCTTGGACAGCTGATGAAGGAATATTCGACAGTTTTGTACTCAAAATCAGAGATACAAAAAAGCAGTCTGAACCACTGGAAATAACCCTCCCTTCCCCTGAACGTACCAGGGATGTGACAGGGCTCAGAGAAGCCACTGAATACGAAATCGAACTCTATGGAATAAGCAAAGGAAGGCAATCCCAACCAGTCAGTGCCATAGCAACAACAGGTATTGTAAACAAACAGGAGGGAACAGAGAAAAGCCATGACTTGGGGCACTTTCTCCTACAGGGTTGGGCAAATACAAGAGCTTTGGACACAGACAAGCTGGCATTCAGACTGGCTCCTTCAATTACAGGCTGTGTTATCTTCCCCCAACTCCCCCCCCCCCCCCAATGCGCCTAAGTCTCTATGCAAAGAGTGCCATTTACCTAATAGGGTTGGAAGGATTCAGTGAGATAACTCATGTAAAATCCTCTGCAGAGAGGCTGGCTTGTGGCAAGAACTCAGCACAAGGCGAACCAGTCCCGTTGCCTTTCACAGCATTCTCCTCTTAGCAATGGCCACATTTTGAAATCCCAGGGAGAACTCTTCCTTCTGCCTATCGATCAGTGTATAAGATATTATCCAGCGATACTATTTGCAGTTTCTTGCTTTTGGGTGCAATGCTCCAGTTGCACTAGGTAGGGACAAGGGAGAAATAACACTTCCACTTCTAAGTTTATTTATAACATGTTGCATGTGAATCATAGAAACTAATCATCAAGGAAGATGGAAGGAGGTGGCAAGGCTAACAGATCATCTTCACAAACCTCACTACTTTTAACAACTCCGAAAGACATCTAGAGGAAGAAAAGCAATCCCTCTCCATGTAAACTGTGGCAAGGAGGGAAAAGAAATGTTCAGTAACAGGACTCCTCAGAGTAATAATGCTAATACTTACATGGCTAAGACTTTCTTTACAAGGCAAAGGAAAGCCCTCAAACAGGTGGAGTGAATTCTGTCAGGGCACTGAGAGACAACATTGTCTAGAGACAACTTTTTCAAAGAAAGCAGAGAAAAGAATCACAAAATCACAGGATAAGCAATAGGGATGTAAGCAGTTATTAGCTCAGAAAAGTAAAGTGATTTTCATAAAATCACATAGCAAGATCTGGAGTAGAATCAAATAATTAGTTTATTCCAAGCCTATAGGATGACAGATAACCAAGGAAAATACATTCTCGCCATCTCCAACAGGCATGAAAGGCTGACATTCACTAGAACTTGCTCCTTTTTATATAAAGCCAGTTTTACTTTTAATGTCAAATTTCAGACCTAACAAGCATCGGGAATCTACCCATAAAAACCATAACCAGGATTTGTAGGCAGAGAGTAAATGCTTGAACTCAACAAGAGAGAAAGCCCTACTCTTCATGTACAGGGACAGACACCCTGCCCCAGATGGAAACGTGGGTCCCAGTCCCCTCTTCCTTCCCATGGCGGCCAGTGAAGTGGCTTTGGATGGGAGCAAGAACCTAATTCTGACCTTGCTTTATAAACATGGCTCTTCCAAGTTTACTTCTGACTTTGTTTTGCTGCTCTTTTTTTGTTTGTTTGTTTTGGAAGTCTTGCAGTTTTAAAACAAAAAGGAAAATGAATAATCATAAATTGCCTTTTATTTTCATTAAGAACAAAAGAAAAGAGGAGCATATTCTTGGGGAAGAATCTCCCTCAGATCTCTCTGCCTGAAGGTCTTGGAGTTCACAGTAAAAGTGGGGGAGGTGGGTGGGGGGAAGGTCTGTGCCCCTGGGTATGCCCAACAGAGCAGATATAAATTTCCATTTTGTTTGTTCAGCCTCTCCTCTGAACTCTCACCCCACCTCCCACCACTGTGAACCCTCCTCTGTGAAGTCCTGTCCCTTTCCTCCTGATAAGGAGCTGTTGTGACTCCTCCTTGCCTACAGACATCAGACATCTCTCCATGGGGCATCAGCTGCCCATCCTGAGTGTGTGGACTTGCAGAAAAAGCAATGCACCCCAGTGCTTAGCCAGTGGTTGGTCTCCAGGGACATTCTTGGAGTGTAATCAAGGCTTCCCATCATGTGACCTCCAGCGGGTTTCTTTACTCTCTAAGCCTCGATTGCCTCACCTTGGAAAGTAGAACTTATCTCAGGATCAGACAGAGTTTAATGAAGATCATGAATGTTGAGTGTTAACACAATTATAGTTGTATCGACACTGTAACATAGTAACAATATTAATTTGTATTATGTTCAATGGTTTAATGTTTTTGTTTGGGGTAGGACTTAGGATGGAAGTCAAAATCCTTACATTTTGCTAGGCAGGTACTCTACCACTTGAGCCAGGTCTTCAGCTTTTTAGATAGGACCTCATTCCCTTCATCCAGGCTGGACTCAGACCATGATCTATTTTTGCTTCTCAGGGAGCTGAGATTACAGGTGTGTACCACCACATCCACCTCATTAAATTTTATTTTTAATGGGCCAATTAATAGTTAGAAAAAATATACATTAGAGTCTATTCAACTGTGTTCCTCTACCTGCTGGCTCTATTTAGAAGCAACCAATATTCCAATATCACCACTTTCTTGTCCTCCCAGGCAAATGCCTCATGGAACCTCCAAGACACAAACGATCAAAATATAGCTACATTCAGGAAATCCTCAGCCCATTTCACAGATATGAAAACTGAGACCTTAACTGGGCACTGGTGGCTCATGCCTATAATCCTAGCTACTCAGGTAACAGATCTGAGGACCACGATTCAAAGCCAGCCCTGGCAGGCAAGTCCATGAGACTCTTAGCTCTAATTAACCACCAGACAACCAGAAGTGGTGCCATGGCTCAAAGTATTAAAATACTAGCCTTGAGCAAAAGAGCTCAGAGACAGCACCCAAGCCTGGAATTCAAACCTCTCAACCTACCAAAAAACAAACATGTCTTAGGAGCTAATGTATTTGTAGGTAGTCCAGTATGGAATTTTAATTTTTGTCAATTGTCACACTTGTTGAACCTTTGAGGAAGCCAATATTTTTATGCAGAGAGCAGGCAGAAGAAGCCCTTCCCAGCTTTCTTGAGAGCTTTTAAAAACTGCAGATGTTTCTCTAATGGGATTGTTTTTCCCTAAAGGGTAAACTGAATACCCTTGGAAAAAGAGACAGGAAGTATTTCCTGCATCTCCCCAACTGGTAGACATCATTTACTGATCCTACAGCCATCTGCTATAGGGCTAGAGAGCTGTTAGCTATATTCATGAAGGAGATGAATTAATAAGGGGTTTCAACACCCAGGAACTGATCATGCCTACTGTCCCAGAATGCCACCACTATTGTGCTATTCAAGTTATACATGGCTATCTTCCTACCTCAACCATACCTATAATCTCCTGAAAGTTGCAACAGATGAGACCATTATTAAGACAAAGCAGATATTACTGTTATTTTATAATGAGAAAACTGGGGTCTAGAGAAGAAAATTTTGATTCTAAGATACAGCTTCCTAAAATAACCCATACCAACCAGTGAGATTTTCAGGGCAAAGACAGAACCAGACAAGCAGTGGGAGATTTTCCATGCCTGAGTCTCACCTAGGTCTTCTTTCAACTGGATTCATCTAGATCCTTCCAGAGGAATAACCTGAACATCCAGGTAGCTCACAAGAATAAAAAGGTCACATGGCAATTAAAACAGAGACAATAACATTTATTGGATGCTTACTGCATATCAGATTCTGTGTTAGGATTTTATATGCATTGTCTCTGCTAATCCTTGAGACATTCCTGTGGGTGAATGCCTTTCCACACTGGACAGACAGATAGAGCACTGAAACTCACAGAACTGAAGAGACTTGCCCCAGGTAGTCCAGCCTCCTGGTGGTATTTGGACAATCAAGATCTTACTGGTTCCTAAGACCTTGTGGTTTCTGAAATGTTCTACAGACAGTACAAAAACCTAGGCAGTCACAGAGCCTAGAAGTGGTTTCCAGCTCACAGAAGAAAGTTGTAGGAAGCAAGAACTGACAAAGTTAGTGTGTTGTTTTTTTTTTTTTTTTTTTTTTTTTTTGGATGAGATCAAAAAGAAAAGAAAATCAAATGGGTAGGAAAAATAATCTCTCCCTAAATTTCTGTGGGTTTTCAAACTTAATGATCAACGTGGGCTGGAGAGGGGAAAGGATGAGGAAGTAAGGTCCCTTGAGCCTGAAAATTATTTCATGGTCATCTAGTGTAGGCAGAAACCTACGCCAAAAATCACAAAGAAGAGCCAAAGGAAAATGTGTTAATGGAGGAAGGACTAAGGAGCAGAAACTCTCCGTGGACCTTGGTTTCCCAGCAGATAGACCCCCATATCCACTGGGTGTTTGGCCTGATATTGCCTTCTTGGCTGCCGATCTCCTTCCAGTTCTAACAGCAGGCGTGTCAAGGTCATCTTCCTAGGGAATATTATTTCCAGGATCCTGGGCTGTGCTGGGTTTGGGATCCAGAAAGATCCCATTTATAAAGAATGGTAGCTGGAGAATGGGAAGGTACTTTAGTCCTTTGTCCGGCATCTATAACTTATTCTCAGTTTTCCATATGGGGAGATTAAGCATTATAAAGTACAAAGAACTATACACTCATCCTATCTTAGCTTTGAGCAATAAAAGGAACTAGGAAACAACGATTTGAAAAGTACTTGAAATAAAAAAGGGGAAACATATTCGACTCTGTGAAGCTGTTCTCCCTCACCTTGTTGGATGCCTGCTCAGGTGCTACACTTTCCTCGAGTGAAGCCAAAGGACAAATGATGGTGCATAGTCAGTTCTACACCCTCTACCTGCAGTGAAAGATGGTTAATATCACAGCCTGGCCACTGATCACAGATTCTCCATCCTAAAGGCTTGGCAGTGACATCAGCTGTAAACATGATGTTGTCCTGGATAAATAAACAAACAAAAAATCCAAGGAAAAAAAACATTGATGGAAAAGATAGGAAACATTTTTGGATTTTTCTGCTTTCTTCTTGACAGCCATGGGCCCTCCAAAGGAAATCACATTCACAGACATCACTGAAAATTCAGCCACAGTCAGCTGGACGGCACCCACTGCCCAGGTGGAAAACTTCCGGATCACCTATGTGCCCGTGACAGGAGGTAGGGGATTCAAAGAGCGCTGAGGCAGGAGGGATGTGGAGGTCTGGGGTGGCATATGAAACTCCCATTACCCTAAATACACAGACATTGAAAACTACTTGCTACAAAATTGAAATGACAATCTACAGAGTTTATTCATTAAGCATTGTAAGATCTTTTGGGGAGAGGGGTAGGAAGAACTGTGTTGAAAAGGATCATTTTATTAAGATCCTTTCTAGCGTTGAACTCTAAAATTCTATCAGAAATAGGTCCCTGGTATTGCATAACACAATGATGACAGATTTTTATATACACTGAACTTTTTATTCCTGAGCACATTCATCTGAAAAAATGGTCTTGGGTATGAGTGAGATTTTGCCCACAGTGCCAAATATCCATCTTTACCATAGGGAGTTGTGAGTTCTAATTCAGAACACAGGGGATAAAGGGGATGAAGTAGAGTAAAAAAATCTGTCAAAAGTCCTCCTGTCATGTAGCAAGCTCACACTAAGTGGAGAGGATGGCTGGTGACAAGAATGCCATAATAGGATTGTGATCAGCTGGTATTTGAGCTGTTTGTTCATTGGTCCTGAAATTTGCAGAAATAAGTATTAGAGCTCAAATTTGACTATATCCATCCTTTCTGAATTCCTAACAAGGGAATCTATATCATCCTAACTCAAGTCAATGGGTTGAATAGAGCTTTCCATATACTTTGTAGGGGTAAAAAAAAAAAAAAAGTCAAAAACAAAGTTTATACACCATGCCAGCTCTCTACTGAGTGGAAACTTACCATTTTGGGTGGTTGTGACTTCATGTCTTTTTCTTTCCTGGATTGGTTTTTGGCATCTGCACCAATGGAAAAAGCATTATACACAAAGTTAAGGCCTTTTTCCCCTTAAGCCAAAGGGTGGGAGAAAGTGAGAGGAAGTCAAGAAAATGGTATTGCATAAAGATACAAATCTGTTGCCAAACCTCGTCCACCGCTCTTGGGGCCGCAGTGAATAGATGTCCATGAGCTGGCCATTCCTAGTCTCGCTCCTGTTCTACCTCAGGTGACCCCTCCATTGTGACAGTGGATGGAAGCAAAACTGAGACGCGGCTGGTGAAGCTCACGCCAGGGATGGAGTACCACGTCAGTGTCATCGCCATGAAGGGCTTCGAGGAAAGCGACCCAGTCTCAGGGTCACTCACCACAGGTGTGTTGGCCTTTGCTTCTGGTTTTCCTGAGTTCACTTTTATAGGATCCTTATTCCTCATCTCCAGTGTTATGTCTTATGACTCACCAGCTGGTGAGGAAAGGGGTTATTTATGAAATCCTAGAGTCAGAGTGCCAAGAAGTTAATTTGTGTCTCCACTCTGATCGCTTCTGAGCTGGGTAACCTTTGGAGCATCCTTAGACATCTCAGGCCTCCACTTCCAGGAATATTCTAGAAGAAATAGCCCATGTTTGGGAATCATACTGACTTCAGTTGAAATCCTAATTATACCGCTGGCTAGCTCTGTGTACCTGTCAGTTAATTTCTCTGGGCTCCAGTTCCTCTGGAAAATGGGCAGAATCTTGCTTCCCTCACAGGGTTGGGTGAGGATCTCTCTACATGTAACTGTGCAAGTTCTCCCACCTCCTCCCTTCCCCCATCTACTTATCAATAGTTGTCAGGACTCTTAGAACAAGTGCTTCATGAGGAAATGTGATGGAAATGTTTAGATTATTAGCCACTAGTAGCTAGTGTATATTTGGCAGTCCCTGTGTTCCAGACACTGCTGAACACTACATGAATTCCCACAGAGGTTTCCATCCCCAGCTCACAGAGAAGACACCTGAGACATGGGGAAATTATAAGGCCATATAATCAGTAAAATGTTGGGACCAAGTTTGAACCTAGGTCAATCTGAATGAAAGCCCTGCATTCTTCTAAAATAAAAGAGCCTTTTCCGATTAAAAGACCGATTTGTACAGTTTGCTCTAAATGACTGGAGGGATAATGAATTACATTGAGGAAGAATGAGGTGGAAAATTTCTTTCAGACAGCTCTGTCTCTATAAACAATTTATCCTTTGAGATAGGAACAATTATCCAGTCCAGCCCACTAAGAAATCCAAAGAATGGGCCTCATAGGAAATTTCAAAAATATCCTAATGTCTGAAAAAAGGTTGTTAATATACAATTGCAACATCCCATCTGAAACCAGAGTCTCATCCACCCTATTCCGTGGGCCTCTGTTTTTCCAAAGAAATGTTTTCCCTCATGACTCCCTATAGTAGATCCACAAAAGCTGGGTGTGTTTCTTTCTGAGGCCCCACTGTTATCGGAAGTTAATGGAGATTCCGTGCATGCACAATGAAATGAGAAGAGACTAAGAGGGGTTGATGTGGGATCTCAAATTTTCTCTGCACACCCTTATTCTCTAGCCAGTTCTTTTAAGTTCTTGAGGCCTAAGTGTTCATCTGTTAAATGAGCTGAAGACAATGGGTCACTTTGGGCGGTCATGAGGTAGCAGAGTAGCAAGTTAGAGAGCAGGCAGGAAACAATCACATTCAGGTTGGCTTCCAAGGAAGAGATGCTGGGGAGAAAAAAATAGTTAAAAAAAAAAAAGGCCAAAACTGAGAGTGTGGCTTAAGTGGTAGAGTTCTTGCCTAACAAGTGTGAAGACCTGAGTTCAAACTCCAACACCGCTAAAAACAAAAGAGCCAGGGATGGATATCTTCTGAATACCCTTTCTCGGTACAAGTCACTTAAGCACAATAGCCTCTATTTGGGATAGAGTCCCTCTACATGGCCAGGCCTGCCTCAGTTTCCCAAGCACCAGGATTAGAGAATGATGAATATTCATAGAAATACTGATAACAACTGCAATTCCTCTAGCATGTTTTATATGCCTCATCTACTCAGGCCTTACATTCGGAGGAAGGAAGGAAATAAGGAAAGAAAGGAGGTGTGGGGTAGGGAAATTACCTTCCCATGTGCACAGAGACACAGTCCAAGTTGCCACAATAGAACCAGAGACCAGTGGCCTCCAAAACCTGGCTCCATATTGCCTGTCATTCTCCTAACCAGAAACATTACCCAGCACCCAGAAAACCTTACACAGCTTAGAGCAGGTCTTCCCTTTCTGTGTTAGTTCCTCCCCTGGGTAAAGGGATATAAGCTCTGATGCTGGTGCTTGTCTGGTGCTCAGCACCCTCCCGCCCATACTACAACATGGAAACCATGCCAGTCAGAATGATTTTATCCCCAGTGAACAAGTGAGAAAATACCCAGCCAACAAGGAAAGGAACCATGACTCAAAGCCAGGTCAGCCTGGCTTCAGGCTCACGCACCATGTTCCTGGCACTGACCTAACAGTAGGAATCAGAGCAGCTCATCTTGTAGAGGGCAGCTCATCTTGGGTCTGAGGTCCTCCCCATCATGACCAGCTCTTTCCCATCACCTCTCTTTGCAGCTCTGGATGGCCCATCTGGCCTGGTAACAGCCAACATCACTGACTCGGAAGCCTTGGCCATGTGGCAGCCAGCCATTGCCACCGTGGACAGCTATGTCATCTCCTACACAGGGGAAAGAGGTAAGGTCTTGTTCAAGACTCTCCTCTCCTGACACATCTCTTACTGCAGACTCTTCCCATTCTCCTGTCCTGTGCCACATTTGGTAGGTGGGGAAGGCCAGTATTGTCTGTGTAGCTCTCAGTGCAGCCTTCTTAAGAGAGTCTAATAGTACATCTCCAGCCTCCACATAATTTCCTAGCCCATCCCTCCACTCCTGCTATCTTCCTACCTATTAGTACAAGACTCCAGATAGTACCTCTTATCTTTTACAAAGAAGAAGTCCAGGATCCTGGGATTCCTGGGCTCTCAGAAGACACCGAGGAGAGTAGTTGAAGCAAATATGATTGTGTTTCTGCAAGCATGTGTGTTAATTTACAGTAAAGAATGGTTATAATAACAGTCAACATGGCCAGCTGAAAATAAAAGCCAAATGCAAATAAGACAGAGGGGAAAGAGAGTCTCTTTCAATAAGCCCATATGGTTCAGTATTGCTTTGCCTTCAGTGACAATAGGAGGCAGAATCATAACCCATGCATGGGGACTCTAAAAATTTTAATTCCCCCCTGGCAACAACCTGAGGAAGTCCCTTGTGAGCATAGAACAAAGGCAGGGGCAGGAATTTGTGTTTACTCATTTTATTCTTTAATTCTGATTCTTTGTGAGCAGACTCTTCTGAGAAAGGGAAGACAATGTTGCTTCATCTAAAATAAACAAGGTGCTATTGATGTGATTCATGGAAATCATGGATTCAGGGATAACAAAGAGGAGGAGAATGGGAGTGGGGTTCTGAGTTGAAGCAATCAAGTTATCCCAGTTCACCAATGTCTTTCACACCTGGGAACTCCTAGTCCATGCCTAAGCGATAAGGTCCCCTATGATTAGGAGATAAACACAGTTGCCAATTGTTTCTCACTATTAGACCTGAGTGACTCAGGGGTCTGAGGGGTTAAGTGACTTCTCAACCATCAGGGCTCTGCGATTCTTGATTTGACAATATTTGGTAGCACAAAAAGATGTGTGAGTGGAGGAACAGAAGAGAGAGAATGCCATGGGGACAAATTCAACATGGATAACCCAAAGTCCAAGAACTCCCCCCTAGCTCAATCCAGTGTTTCAGCAATGCAATGCTGCAACCAATATACCATGTGGAAAATAGCCCCTGAACTCCAGCTCCTTTCCTTCTGATCTGGTCTCCATATCATCTAGTCCTTCTCCTATGAGAAGAGAGGTGGGATGATCATGTCAGAACTCAAACTAGACTCTCAGCAGGTCACAGAAAGATTCTGGGGTAGAAGAAGGAGTGTACACTATTATTACCCCTGCCGATGGCTCACAGACTGAAGTAACCACCTGGTTATGTGTTTTTCATGTTCAGTGCCAGAAATCACGCGCACGGTGTCCGGGAACACAGTAGAGTATGCTCTGGCTGACCTTGAGCCTGCCACAGAATATACACTGAGAATCTTTGCGGAAAAAGGGCCCCAGAAGAGCCTCACCATCACTACCAAGTTCACCACAGGTACAGAATTACCAAGAACAGAAGCTCTGGCTTATGGGATGCTTACCCACAGCCTACATCTTAAACACCAAGCCCTTACAAACTCCTCCTTAAGTCAGCCTCATGTCATGTGATGAAGTAGGCAGAGGTTCAGTCTACCAGTGCCTATTCTGTAGATACCTGAGATACACACCATTTGCTTTTGAACTGAAATGACCTCATTCTCCCAGTGAATGAAGAAAAGATTTTTGAAAGGAAGGTTTACAAGTAGAAAAACAGTCACAACTGGCCTTTAACTCAGCATTTAATGATCCATGTTCCAGGCAAAGAAATATACTTAAAGAGAGGTTTTTCAGGCAAGCTTTCCTAGATATCCATATGCATTGAAAATATTTTTTGTCAGTCATGGGACTTGAACTTGGGGCCTGGGTACTGTCCCTAAGCTCTTTCGCTCAAGGCTAATGCCTTGAGCTACAATACCACTTCTGGTTTTCTGGTGGTTAATTGGAGATAAGAGTCTCACAGACTTTCCTGCCTGTGCTGGCATGAATCTTCAGATCTCAGCCTCCTGAGTAGCTAGGATTACAGCCACCAGCTCCTGGCCTTTTTTTTTTTTTTTAATGAACATCCACCAGCAGGGAAATGGAGAATTATCCTCTTTGCCTGGTGAGGGTTGATATGATATCAGCTACCATGTGTCCTCTTACTTAGAAACAAGGGGGTCAGTAATATCTCTCTCCAAGTTGAACCAAAGCCAGCCAGAACCTTGTTGAGCTCATAGAGACCTGACTCTTAGAATGAGCTGTGGCTTAGACTATTTGTCTTTGGAGTCCTGAGCATCAACCTCTTCATCTGCAAGTGAGAAGTTTCTTGCCCAGGATCACATTGGTTCGTTCTCTTGATATTCTGTGCCTTAGACTTGCTGCCTTGCTTAACATTAATCATCTCCTCCAGACCTCGATTCTCCAAGAGACTTGACTGCTACTGACATTCAGTCAGAAACTGCCCTCCTCACCTGGCGACCTCCTCGGGCATCGGTCACTGGTTACCTCCTAGTCTACGAATCCGTGGATGGTACCACCAAGGTAGCGTCAAGTGTGAAATAATTCCCCACGTGTACTCTTAAGAGTGAGGGAGAATTAGCTGATGCTATTTCTCTACTCCAGTACATTTAAGGAGCTTAAAAAAAAAACTTAGCAGGGCCAGGACCTTCTGAGTCATACTCTCCAGCCTCTCTCATTTTAACCAGACCCTAGTTTTGAGAGTCAGCCAAGATCCAGAGCCACCACTAATAAGCCTTGACATTTTAGGAGCTAGATTCTTAGCCACTGAGTATTTTCTTGAAGAAAGGTGGAGAGTTTCTTCTGCATTTTTGTCCTAGGTATTATATCACAGATGGTATCGTCACACACAGATTGCAATATATTTCACTATGCCCTAGAGACAGCAACTAATAGCATCCACATTCATTGTGAATGCTGTTCTTACCCCATGAACTTCTTCCTGTTACTTTTCAATTTTCAGTAACTTTAGAGCTTCAGACCAATGAAAGGGGTTTTCTGAACTTTTCCTTTCAAATTTGTTCTTTTAATGTCAGTTATCCCTACTGTGTCTAAGTTCACTAACTTCTGTACATTTGTATTATTTTAATCAGCTTCTTGGTGTTTCAGGTTATCATCTGTATTGCTAAAATACGTGGGACAAGTATTTCATTCTGTAACCTGTAGGTCATTTCTCCCAACTTTCTTTTCTTGCTTTTCTGGCTGTCCTCTGGCTTCATTTCATGGGGTCACCTTTCATATAGAATACTCCTATCTAATGTTTATTGCTCTGGTTTATCCTTTTGTCCTGGAGCCAAGAATGAAAGAGTTAATTGGGACCTCCAGCTGCTGGCTCACCAGAGTATGGGGACAAGCATCCAGCAATATGTTTTATTTTGGTCTGGGGCAAACTTTGGGCTCTCACTGTGTGTAAAGGCTCACTTTATCTCACGTTTCTAACTTGGAACCTCAACATTAAAACAACTACTTCTGGAAAGCTTGAATCCAGAGCTTCTGTGTTAGCTCGTTCTTTCCAGTCTTCTACCTGGAATAGGAGGATATGAGGAAATCTGAGGAGCTAACCTATTTCAGTACAAACCAAACTTTGTTTGGGAACACCCTACATTGTCCTTAGAGGCAGTGTGTTCATGTTCACAATTGTGATGGATTCTGTGTATTCCTGAAGCCATCTCTCAGCACTCTGTCCACTCTTCTTATAGTCCCAGCTCTGGCATTCTGCTCTCTCAGGGGTCTCTCCTTTACCACCTTCCATCTACCATGACACCTGGTGCTGTCTCCTCTCCAATTCTCTTCAGCTGTGTGGAGTTATACTTTATATTTCTTTACTCTCATTTCAATGGATATCATAAGCAGATATAGTTAAACAGCCATTTCCAATCTGTCACATGTTACTACATAGAGACATGCATTTCTAGTTATTCTCATCACCTACCTGGAGTTGGTACATAAAGAACGAACTCACTGTGTGAGCCATAACAAATCCCATATCTCTTCCAAGGGCCCGTGTCCACATCTGTGAAATGACTACATAGTACTCATGATGTCCAGAGTCCCCTCCCAGCTGGAATTCTTAGGGTTATGTTTATCTTGAATTTTGAGTCTCACGTCAAGCTACCCTAATTGCTTAGAAGACAACTTTGTCTAGCAGCCCAGAGAGATGACAGGCAATTTTATCCCCGAGTAATTCAATGAGCCTGGTTTTATACCTGACAGTTGATCGCTCTCTGAGGGCCACAAAAAGGTCACTAGTATTAAATGGGTGCTCACCCTGGCTTGTTTTCCAACATATTTGATCCTCAGCTTTCTATGTCTCACTCAAAAATAAATAGATAAAGGAGTCAACTTAGCATAAGAGAAAGAAAGAATACCAGCCAGAGTGTTAGGAAACCTGGGTACAAGCTCATCTTCTACCACCAACAATGAAGTGAGAGTGAGTTCCTTAGGTTCTTTGAAATTGAATTCCCCACTGGGAAAACTCAGGATAACACAGTATCCCAGGATACAGAAGGAATTTCCATGTGCCTCTGCACTAACCCATTACAGCCTAAATCCAGTGGGCCTTGGTTAAGTGTTGTGCAGAGCAATGTTGTATTTGGTTTACCTGACTATAACTTCAGTTCCAATCTCAGACACCAAATTCACCTGTGATAAAGCATTAGACAATAGTGAGAGGATTTAAAAACAAAGATTCTCTCCTCCAAAAGGAAAGGATCATCCGTCTGGACAAGAGCCCAGAGACCAGCCGCAAGCACAGTGGCAATGAGTCACTGTGGATATCTTTGGATATCTTTGGATATCTTTGTTCTGGAGGAGCCAGTGCTTTGGGTTAGCTTACGCCTCCCTCAGGCCCACCTTCAGAGCTATTACGGTCATCTTTCCATTCAAGAAGAAAGCTTGCTAAATATATACTAGTCAGGCCTTGTTCTTCTCTCTCTGATCAGTTAGTCGAGTCTAGGATGGAACATTGTACTTTTTTTACAGCTCACCCATAGAGATAGCCATCCTCATGCACTTCCAATCCTCTTGCCTCTAGTGCAATTCATCTTGCCATAATTTTAAATTTTTTAAAGCACAACTGTATTCATGACACTCATTTGCCTAGACACACCATTGAGACCTTCCATACCAGTCCATAGCCTGGCATTTAAGACTCTGTAATCTAGTTATTCCTTACCTTTTTCACCTCTCTTGCCCACAAAAACCCCAAACCAAGTACAACTGAGATAAGTTATTGTCTCATCTTATTTTAACTTCCCTGCTCCTTCCAGCCCCAGGGCCTTTGCTTAGGCAGCAGTTTCCCTATCTCTGATTCTCCAGTTAGGGACTTAGAGTTGGGCACAGATCTTGGGCATGGGGCAGTGACTAGAACAGGACAGATATAGAATGCTCCGTCTATTCTCTGAGAATATCTGTGAACAAAGTGCTTGTTCCTTCTTCTGTCCTCAGGAAGTCATTGTGGGGCCAGACACCACCTCCTATAGCCTGGCAGACCTGAGCCCATCTACCCACTACACAGCCCGGATCCAGGCACTGAGTGGATCTCTGAGGAGCAAGCTGATTGAGACCATCTTTACCACAAGTAAGAACCGCAGGCCGTGACTGGGTCTTGAGGTCTAACTTTGTGACATTGAACCAAGCCTCCACCTTCCATTTTGGCTTCGGCTTTGAACGTTTCAAACATGTTTCTGAAAAGTATCCATCTTCCGCTGCTGCCTGGAAGCCCAGGGAACGTGGATGCCAAAGGCTGTGGTGTCCATGGGAGAAGGGAAGAATAGGCTGAGTGGCTCTGGGTTCACGGGCCATCGCTCCTCTTCCTCTGCATGTCTCAGGGAAGGAGGTTCCTTCTCCCCCACTGACCTCATCTCTGTAGAATGGGATTAACAAGGGCACTGCACAAGGACCCGTGGGAGTGAATCAGCTCTCGTCTCTGAATTCCTAGCTCAGTCGAGTTCAATCTAAGCCCAATTTAAGTCCCCTTCTTCTTTAGCTTTCAATGTTTACAAGGCCTGGGCCATGCACAAAATCTCAAATAGTCTTATGATCAAGCTGGCCTAGTAGGTCATGCCTCAGTTTCCTCGTTGGGAAATGGAGGCTTCCAGAGACTTCCTGACCAGGGCAACTATCTTAAGAGTCAACGTTGGGCTCAGATGTCCCGGACCAGAGCTCCCACCCTCCTCTTGCACTTAGCACTGGTCATCTTCGCAAGAAGCAGGCTAGTGAGCTATCCATTGGTGAGTGCAGCGACTGAGCAAAGGCTGTGGAGCACCTCATGCCTTTCACTCTTCCCTGGACAATGGTGCTGAGGAAAGTTCTTCCTCTTCACCAGATCCAAGGCCATGTGCCAGGAACACAAGAGCATAGTGTGCAGAACTCAGGTCCTTGACTCAGAATCCTCTGAAGAAGCTGATGATGTATTCCTAATGTGGACAGAGATATACATTTGTCTGAAAAGCTCAAAGCTCTCAAGGTTTCATGAGACTCTCAAAGAAGCCTGCACCTTAATAGGATGCCCTGGTCCACAGTGTGCCATCCTTGGAGTGCTAGAATGCACACGCTAGCCAGTACCTGAGAATTCACTGGGTGCTATTTGATGTACCAGGTGAACCAGCTTAACTTTACACCACAACCCTCACAGCAATAGTATGAGACCATATCTATAACCCCTACACCACAAGGCAGACTTTCCCCTCATCTTGCACATGTGGGAATAGAGACCATTCCTGTTGCTTGCTTATACACACGTAAGCGGCAATCGGCAAGATCTACCCCAGTCCTTCTGTTCTGAAAGTTATTTTTCTCCTCCTTTTGCAGTTGGACTCCTGTATCCGTTCCCCAGGGACTGCTCCCAAGCCATGCTGAATGGAGACACAACCTCTGGCCTCTACACCATTTATCTGAATGGTAACAAGTCCCAGTCACTGGAAGTGTATTGTGACATGACTTCTGATGGAGGTGGATGGATTGTGAGTATTCAAGGTGGACTCCTGGGCCCTCAGCCATGGGAAAGGGGGCTGGGCAAACAAGGAAAGTGGTAGGCTATGTCCTCTGTGCAAAACCTTTCATAACACAATGGCTCATACTTGGAAATTTCTCTTTAAGCAAAGGAATGAAAAGAAGCTGAGGATTAAAACACAATAATGCTAGAATTTTTTTTATAATTTACCTCATTTGAGCCTCTTCAAATTCTGATAAATAAATGAGGGGGATCATAAAATCCCCTAAATTTATTAATTAGCAGCAACCAATCACTTACTATCAACTAGGCATTATGCTAAGAGTTTGATCGGAATTCTTCCAACCCCCTTATTGTATGAGCTGAGTTATACATTTTTTGTTTTGTTTTGGGTCCGGTCGTGGGGCCTGAACTCTGGGCCTGGGCACTGTCCCTCAGCTCTTCAGTTCAAGGCTAGCGCTCTACCACTTGAGCCACAGCGCCACTTCTGGCTTTTTTCTTTTTGCTTTTATGGTGCTGAGGAATCGAACCCAGGGCCTCAAGCATGCAAGGCAAGCACTCTACCACTGAGCCACCTTCTCAGCCCCTGAGTTATACATTTTTAACCAATAAACTTTAAGAGTTTAAAGGTTCACAGAAAAATTGCTGTCCAGTTTCCATCTACTTCCTGCTCCAGCATACCATCTCCAACATTATCAGTATCCTGGCACAGAGAAATTCATGTTTGGGATGAAACTACCTGGATACTTCATGAGCCCCTAAAGCTGAGGGGGCATTTTCTGTCACTATTTTTCAAGAGACTATGTACTCAGAGAGGGCAGGTGACCTGCTCAAAGTCATATGCAAATTAGTGGACAGATCTGGAAATAGGTTTTTTGTTGTTGTTGTTTTTGTTTTTTTGATGGTCATAGGCCTGAACTTTGAGCCTGGGCGCTGTCCCTCAACTCTTCACCTCAAAGCTAGCACTCTACCACTTGAGCCACAGTGCCACTTCTGGCTTTTTTTTCTCTGCTTATGTGGTGCTGAGGAATTGAACCCAGGGCCTCATGCATGCAAGGAAAGCACTCTACCACTGATCCACCTTCCCAGCCCTGGAATAGGTATTCTTTTCACAGCCAAATGCTATTTGCTCAAAACAATTCCTTCTCTTTCCTTTAGTACCTTAAGTACGCTCAGATTCATCAACTGTATTTGTAGGTATTTCTGAGACGCAAAAATGGACGGGAAGACTTCTATCGCAACTGGAAGGCATATGCTGCTGGATTTGGGGACCGCAGAGAAGAATTCTGGCTTGGTAATGCAGCCCTGCATATCTGTTTCTAAAGTACCCATTTCGGCCCCCCATTTCATTCGTCCTAGCTCATATGATCAAGAAGGGAGAGAAAAAGATTATGGAGAAAGGAAGAAGTCTGGGACACAGATATCACAGAACCTCAAACTCCCAAGACCAAGTGCTCTGGGTTATTAAAAATAAAAATTTAATCAAGAAGGAACTTTATGAATGAACCTTAACCATTCATAAGCTTGTCTTCACTGGTAACTTGGCTGCCTTCCTTCTACGTGTCAGGCACCTGACACTTAGGAGCCATAACCTTACAGCCATAACCTCTTATCTACAACTCCCTTACAAAAAGCAGAATTCCCTCTTATACATGAGGAAACTGATCCTCAGAGAGCTGGAATGGCTTATTCATGGTAGTCTAGCCAATGAGCAGTTTAAAATCTTCCAAGCCAGCACTGCAGTGCTGTCCACGTATCCATCATCCATCAACCCATCCAACAATCGTCTACCCATCATCCATTCATCAATCCATCTATCTGTACCACTCATAGTTTTCCATAACCTATCTGCACAGAACTCTAGTCTATGCATTGCTGTGGGAGCTTAGAAAAGTACATCCCAACATCATCCATTGTCTTCCCTTTGTAACGTGCTTTAGAAGGAGAAAGATATATTCATTGTCTTACTGCCTGTGATCTTTGCAATATATTAGGATATTGGAAGAGCAAAGATGTCAACCCAATTTTATCTAAGTCTTAAGAAGCATCACGTGTTTTCCCTGGTATGACACCAGTGACTAGGACACATTTCAAGGCCAAGTCTTTCTGACACTCTGTTCAGTGACCCAGCTGCAGCTCTTACAGGAGAAAATAGAAATGATGGCATGAGTCACTTTTTCCCTTAAGCAACCCTTGCCTGTCATCCACAGGGCTGGATAACCTGAGTAAAATCACGGCCCAAGGACAGTACGAGCTGCGTGTGGACCTGCAAGACCATGGAGATACAGCCTATGCTGTCTACGACAGGTTCAGCGTGGGAGATGCCAAGACGCGTTATAAGCTGAAAGTGGAGGGCTACAGCGGGACAGCAGGTAATGGGGCAGCCACACCTCCTAAACCATGGATGACTCCCTCCCTCCTCCCTTCCTTCCTTCCTTCCTTCCTTCCTTCCTTCCTCCCTTCCTTCCTTCCTTCCTTCCCTCCCTCTATCCCTCCCTTCCTTCCCTTTATTCTTTTCCTTCTTTCCTTCTTCCCTTTTCTTCCTTCTTTCCTTTCCTTTCTTCCCTTCCTTCTTTCTTTCTTTTTTCCTTCCTTTCCTCCCTTCTTTCACTAATCCATCCAGTCAACAAACCCTCAAGTACTTCAATACATCCTAGGTGTTAGGCCAGAAGAATTAAAACCAAAAGAGATCAGGTGACTGTTTTGGTCACTAAAACAATGTGATGGGAAAGAGCCATCAAGACTGAATTATAACTACTCTCACTTTAAAAAAAGAAGTGCTTTATCCCTTTTTTAAAAAAGTCAGTTATATACACTGAAAGAAAAAAGTAAGTCTCCCAAACCCTTAACTTCATGTAACGCAGTACTTTTCTGCTATGGGCATCTGCCCCCCTGGGGGTCCTGCTTTGTGGGGCTGCTGCTGACACAGGATGCCAGGGTGGAGCTGAGAGAAGTATTGACCTTTTTTCAAGTTCCCTGGAGGTGCAGTTGTTGCTTATGTTGCTGGGGACTGCCTTTCAAGTAGCCCTTTTATTCCCTATGTGCATCAGAATGCTAGTTCTAGTGCTGAAGATTCCTCTGACTTGAAATGGCCTTTGTGCAGTTTTCTGGCTCCACATCACAGGAAAAACAAGGATCAACATATACTAAGGCCTACAAGAAAGCATTCTCTTTTGTATTGCTCTCATGTAGTAGTCACTGAAACCTTTCAGTGAGATGTTGGTATAAAGGGCAGGACAGGACATCTCAATGCTTTGCCCAAAGAGAAGCAGCTTATAGATGATGCATGCATGATCTATATGTCTTGGTAACGAGGAAAAGTGAGATCTGAGCATGCCTATGCAAGCCATGCCCTCCTTGAGCGGCTTCGTTTGTTCTTATGAACATGGAAGACTGATTCCATAGCAAATCCCAAACTCTTTGGAGCTCTAAAAGGAAACAACTAAAAAAAAGGAAAAAGTCTCCAGGTATGGGTGGCCAAATCAGGGCACCGTCTAGGGAGGCAGAGTTGTTCTGGTGACAATGGAAGAGAAAGAGCCAGGAGTGGAAATTAGTTCCTGCATGCTTCAGTGCATTCTGACATTTTATTACTTGACAATAAAGACCTGTCTGGTGGCAATGGCTTCCAGGAAGGAAGATAGTGTTTTGTGGCACACAGATCCGCCAAGTGGCTGGAAGGGAATGTGGCCCCTGTCCACTCCGTATTTCCAGGGAGAGAATGCACCAGTACTAGGACAACAGTGGTCAGCTGGACCAGCACTGTGAGCCAGTCTCTAGGAGAGCATCCTGTCTCCTCAGTATCTAAGGCCACCTCATGCCCAGGGAGCTTTATCAGTCTAAAAAGACTCCGGAGTCTCTCTGAGAACTTGGCTCCTAGATATCAGTATGGAATACCTGGGATTCTTTGAATATTTGTGCACAGTACCTGACCAGCGGGGTAGAGACTGTAGGAATACAAAAAAGAAATGACATTGCCCCATTTGTTAGGAAATGGAAAGACTTGGAAAAAATTATATTAAGTGAAGTAAGCCAGGCCCAAAGAAACATAGGTCCCATGGTTTCCCTTATTTGCAATATCTAGTATATGTCTGGGACGAGCAGAAAAGCTCAGATAAGGTGATGTTAGGTGAAATGAACTCCAAGATAAGGATTCAAATGGTTTTTCTTTCTTGCTATTGTTTCTAACAAAGATCTTTCTTTGTTGCTTTGTATGTCCCTCCCCCACAGTATAACCCCTGTTTTCACTGTATTTGATGTTGGTATAATTTGTGGAGAGGAAGGGAAAAAACAAATTGTTTAAACAGGGATACAGGTGGACCTGTACATGAGATGTACAAGGGAATGGGGGGACAATGGGCAGGGAAGGGAAGGGGAAACAAAGGAGGAGGCAACAATGCTTGATAAGAAATGTACTCATTACCTTGCCCATGTAATCTTAACCCCTCTATATGGTATTTTCACAATTTTTTTTAAAAATGACAGTAAAAGGCTTCCAACAGCTATCATCCTAAATTACAAACTATATTCCCAAATAGCATTATCAGCAAACAATAGTCTTGTCTAAATACTAAACAGTCTTGTCAGCAAATACTTTTCTAGTAAATACTTTTATAAGAACTACATGATACTGTACTTTAAAATAATTGTGATACTATAAAATAACTATACTATCTGATGACACTTAACATCTGAAAGACTTAATTGTAAGAAAGCCAATAAACACTTATGGAGGAGGCACATATTATTGATGACTTTTTTGTTTGTTGGTTTTGATATGTGCTCGGGTTGTCTGGAACTCATCCTCCTACTTATAAATCATGCTTAAAGACAAATTCTTTAGCTTATGTTCTGATAAATTTTTGTACACATAGACATTTTTTTTAAAAAGGCTCTTTTCTGAATGTAGAAAAGACTAAAAACTATAATAAATAACGATTTACATACCCTTCTACCTGTTTAGGGTACACCTTTGTACCCACTCTCACAACAGCCTATGAGGTACATAGACGTAGTGTGCTGCTCCATTTCACAGAGGAGAAACCTGAGGGTCAGCAAGAGGTTTGAATTGGGTGAGGGCACAGAGAGGGAAGGAAGTAAGACGTTAAGTGGGACCTCCAGAGCCATCTCCAGCCTTCTTCCTACCGAATTACGCTGCCCTGAATGCTGCTGTGAGATTGCCCCATCCATTCTCAACTTCGATGGTGACTGTGTCTGAAGTCCAGGGCCAGCCCACCCTAGAATGGAATTTTTCAGCTGTCCCCTTTGTGTTCTGCCTTTCCCAGCCTCGATGGAAGCTGGGATTTCTCAGGCCCTTATCTTCCTCCTGATCCTGCTCTCTTCCCTTCTCAGGGGACTCCATGGCCTACCACAATGGCAGATCCTTCTCAACCTTTGACAAGGACACAGACTCTGCCATCACCAACTGTGCCTTGTCCTACAAAGGAGCTTTCTGGTATAAGAACTGTCATCGTGTCAACCTGATGGGAAGATACGGAGACAACAACCACAGTCAGGTGAGTGGACTGTGATGTTCAGAACAGGTTGGATGAGGCAAAGGGAAGGGATCCTGGACCAGGGGATAAGACAGTGACAGAGACCTCAGCGGTAGATAGTCTGTCATCTTCCTGACACAACAGGAAATCTCAATAACATAGCAGGTCACTAACATGGAAACAGTATATGTTACCCCTTGCAGATCCCAAAGAGACCCAGCAGTCAAATGAATTCCAAACTTCCCACTGATAAAAGTAGAGACCATTCAATGGAAGTGGGGGTAATACAGACCCTAGAGGAGCCCTGGCCAAAGCACGTTCAGAACCCCAAGAATGCCTAGGATGAAGTCCACAGACACTAAATCCTCTCACAAAGATCAAGGCCCAGAGACAGGTGACTCACCTAAGGTCGCAGAATCAAGTTATTAGGCAGATTCAAATCTCCCCACTTCTGGTCCCTTGATTTTTTCCCCCTGTACCACAGCCAAGTAGAACCTGATTTCTAAAACAGTTTTTTGAGATGCCCTTGAGAAATAAGTAAATAAACCAAACTCAAAAAAATCTATCTTGCTCCAAGACCTGCCTATGCTGGCATGTATGAAAGGTGAATAGGGCCAAGTACAGCCAGCTACTTAGTCACAACCAGCTCTGCTCTGGTCCCTTGTCAGGTGGGATGGGAGGTGGGTGATCACACCATCTTCCCTATTTTTGGACCTTATGGGTTGTCTCCTAGGTCTCTCCTAAGGATCTCAGGAGCTTTGTAAAAAATTCAGCAAACAAGTTACATATCCCAATCCCAGGCATATGAATTGGGTATTCTAAGAGTTTGTGTTCATTTATATTTATCTTGGCTATTTGGGGATTTTTTTTCAGGGGGGTATGAGGTAGCTCTACAGGTGACTCCTGAGATGCCACAGGTACTGGGAGCTGCTGCTCTTGATTATGCTGATCCTTGTGTTTCTGTCTATATTAATTGCTAGCAAACACGAACTCGTGTCCTTCCATGTGTATCTTACTTTTGATTGGAATTTCCGGCCTTTTTTTCAAAGCACTCTTAGGATCTCTATGCTGTTATCCTAGAGGGAATCTGGGTATATTTTTTTCATTCTGTGTTTCAGAAGAAGCAAGAGCTGAAAGATACCCCTCAACACCAGGCCTACCTGGCTTTTCCCATCTTAATAGGACGCTTCATTTTCCAGCCACAGCATTACTTTATTACCTTCACTGTCTTGTCCCCAAACACCAGCATAATACAAGCTCCTTCTGAAAACCAAACCAAAAGTTATATATCAGAAAGGACACCTCTTTTTTCCATGCTTCTACTGATATGTACAAGAAGGAGGAAAAAAATACAGTATTAGAAGCCACAAAGAAATCAACAAGGGCGGAGACCAGCTCCAGCTCTACTCAGCTACATGGTTGGCTTCTCAGAGGTCTCTCTTCCCTGACTTACTTCAGTCTTCTCCATTGTACAAGAAGGCTTGTCTTCTAGCCTAGAACCCCTATGAGAGCAAAGCACCAAAGCAGAGGAAGGGAACAGGTGCACTAAGCTATGGAGCTTCCAGGGTTTACTATCACTGAGTGATTATAAACATGTTTGCCCCTGGAATGAACTAGCCTTTCCTAGATAATCACCTCACCATCAGGCTCCAAGATCACCCCAGGTCTCTCCATTTCCTTCATCTCACTAGCCACTAACCTGTCTGTGGACATGTTCCCAGCTATGCAGCCCTGCATAGCTGATGGAGGAGAAGGCTCAGTGCCTGGGCTGGATGCCTCAGGAGCACTGCCTGAAGCTTAGATTACTCAGTCCTGATCCTCCTTGCTGTCCGGGCAAGATGAGGAGCCTCAGGCACTTGAGGGCAGACTTCCATATCTGTGAACTACAGAGTCTCCTGGAACCAGGAAACCCAGACCCAAACATAGTCTTTTCCTGTAGAAAAGCTTTGGGCAAATTTTTAAGGATATTTCCCTCTCCTTGAGAGAGCACTATGATAACACATTTGAAACTCACTTAATCTTCATGGTACCATCCAGAGTTGTTCTTTCTGCTATTCTATTCCAAACTGTGATTGAAATACCCTGTAGGAATCCTATGATTTATAATCACAATGCACACACACACACATACACACACACACACATACACACACACACACACACACACACACACGCAGACTGTGTACCTAGCTATTCAGTTCTTTAGCCTCCATTAGCTATTTTGTTTGAAGATGTCAGGTCAAAGTTCAGTGAAACTTATTAAGCGGTTCTGACTATTGGTTAACAGAAAATAAAATTTGAAAAAAAAAAACAGATTAAAACAACAACGATTGAACCAGACACTTTGAAAGTCCTTACAACACATACCAAATAGAGTGATTGACAAGAGGAAGTTAGTTTATTGTCGTATGCCACACTGTGTGTCATATGGTCACAAGGAAACAAAACTCTTTTTTGTTTGGACTGAGTGGTGAGGATCAACGAGCGACCACCATGCCTAATGGAAACCAATGTGGAGGCCTTCTCTGTTTTGCAGGGTGTTAACTGGTTCCACTGGAAGGGGCACGAATACTCAATCCAGTTTGCTGAGATGAAGCTGAGACCCAGCAACTTCCGAAATCTTGAAGGCAGGCGCAAACGGGCATAAATTCCAGGGAGAACTGGGTGAGAGAGGAGTGGGGCCCAGAGAAAGGAAAAGGACTTTTACCAAAGCATCCATACAGCCAGCCTAGTCACCGAGCCACACCTGGGCATTGGGCATGCGTTGAAACTGGCCTTGGATCATCAAGACACTGGCATCAGCCACTCTGCGGTTAAATTCCTTCACACCAAAGACAGTCTGCAACAGGTTTCTATTCTGTCATCTGATTCAGAGGAAAAAAATCTTCCAGTGATAACAACATAATGGTTTTTATTTCTCTTGGGTGGCTCTGGGAAGGGGTGAGAGGTAGGCTCCAGTGGTAGTTTGTTTTAGAAGCAGCCATATTTTACACAAAGCTGTATAATTAATTATCATTATTTTTGGTAGCGAAGATAAAACGTGTGTCATTGGAAGTTGTTCTCCCACCATCCCCATTTTTTTTTTACATTTCATACAATCAAAATCAGAAAAGCAATACTGTTTCCATTGTAAGGAGATGATTAATAATATTAATATAATAATGATGATGATGATGAAAACTAAGGACTTTTTAAAGATGTCTTCCCCCAAACACATCTGAACAGTACCTGATTGTATTTTTTTTTAATAAAAGCACAAGTACTTTTGAGTTGAGTAGTGTTTTGCTTTTCATTGCCAGTGAATTTCACCAAAGTCAACATATTGGAACAAAAGGAGCAACCTTGGAAACAAAAGGGAAGGAGGGGATGTGACACTAAAGCTTTTCGATAAAAACAGGAGAAACATTCACTCTACAGTCACTCTACAGTGTGTGTGTGTGTGTGTGTGTGTGTGTGTGTGTGTGTGTGTGTGTGTGTGTGTGTGTGTGTGTGTAAAACATATTGAGCCCAACCCGAGGGGCTCACACCTATAATCCTAGCCACTCAGGAGGCTGGAATCTAAGAATCATGGTTCAGAGCTATCTCAGGCAGACAGATCCACAACACTCTTATCTCCCATTAACAAGCAAAATGCCAAAAGTGGAAGCATGACTCAAGTGGTAGAGTGCCAGCTGTGAGAAGAAAAATGTTGAGCCAAGGGCAGGAAACATTGAATCAAGCCCAATGCCAGCACATACATATAAAATGTACTACTACTACTACTACTACTACTATTAGTGTGCATCAAAAACTTAGAAAAGGAGCATGGAAAAGGGAGTTTGTTAACAGAGTAACATAGATGGGGTGTACTTATTATCAGGGTATATCATATTAAAGTTGTAAATACCACAAACCTCTTTCTACAATTAATTTTCTTCAAAATTAGTTTTGTTCAAGAAACAAGCATCATCCTAAAGATGCTCATATGCACATACACACAAATGCAAAAAGAGTTTAAAATTAGGCATGCCTAGACTGAAAGACACACACAAATGAGCTCAAGAAAAGTAAAAATCTAAATCAGTGGCCGTAAGTACATTGGTTAGTTACTTCTAGGAATTCCAGATACAAATTGAGTTGTGCCCAATGCTATTCTTTCAGACTCACTGGTTAGTAGAAGTTCATGTTGTTAGCCAAAGCAAGAGTCAATGAAGAGTGCTTTTGATCAGTCTCCAGTAGGACTATGGCCACAGCCATCAGAATCTTAGCCCCATCAAATCAATCATCCTAGACACAGACCAATAGAACACACACAAAACATCATGAATTCAGAGTGCACTTTCAGAAAAGCCATCCTTTCACCCTTTTTCTTTCCTTTTCAAGTAGACTAGTCAGCTAGAATACTCTGTAGGCAACAAAAATAGACTTAACCCATATCATTCTTATACAAATCACAACAGGAAATCTCCAACACAAACATCTCATTTTTTTGAGTGTGCATTTTACATCCTTCTCTGCCAATTGCCAACACAAAGATCAAACTTCCCAGTCACCAAGTGCAAAAGCCCTGACTACTTCAAATGAACCCACAAGCTCAGAAGAGCCTCCAAACCCAGCTATCAAAATTTCCTTTGTCAGAGAAATGGCAAAAATCCAAACAGTACATATAAACTACCAGGAGGGAGTAAGGAAGGGGAAAGGCTTGAGATGCACCAATCTAGGAGAAACCAAGGTCACATCCAGGGCCCCTAATGTGTAAAGGTTTGTTTCTCTACCTCAGTAGCTACTGCTGGCTGAAATGAAAAGATAAGAAGAAATTCAATCTTTCCATTCCCATTTGACCAACTATAAGTGGTTAACACCAAAGGAGTGTGTGTTCTCTGGCACAGCTTTCCAAAGCTGAAAGAGGACCCCGTGCTCATGGCTCATGTCTGTAATCCTAGCTACTCAGGAAGCTGAGATCTGAGGATCGAGGTTCAAAGCCAGCCCAGGCAGGAAGTCTGTGAGAGTCTTATCTCCTATTAACTACCAAAAGTTCTGAAATGGAGCTATGGCTCAAATGGTAGAGCACTAGTTTTGAACAAAAAAAGCTCAAGGATAGCACCAAAGCCCTGAGTTCAAACCACAGAACGCACACACACACACAGGACACAGGATGAACCAGTAGAACAGTGATACTCACTAGATACTATGTTGGAAGTGAACTTTAGAACTGGGAGAAAATGAGGGAGAGGGTAACACTGTTCAAAAAGAAATGTACTCATTGCCTTACGTATGTAACTGTAACCCCTCTGCACATCACTTTCTACAATACAAATTTAAATTAAAACAAAAAGGAGGAATTCATAAGATGGGAGTGTTAGCAAGTATTTTAGAATAATAGGAATAGGATAATGTTGGGAGAAATACAAAAAGGGGAAAAGAAACATTTTCTGCTCCCTAGGCAGAAAGTGGGAATAAACACTCAAAATGGTGGTTCTTATTTTCTGAGCTGGGGGAAGAAGGGACAACCACCCCTACGCATTAGAGACAGTGGTTCTGAGTAGCCTAATGTGGCCAGGTCAGGTGCTGTTCGTGACTGTGGAAGATTGGCGATGTGATGGAAGTCTACCCAATCACAAGGGCAATCGATGAGTTTCAGTTCTTCTCTGTCCACTTGTAATAAGATGGCAGCCTAGCACTGTCAAAGGAGAAGGCAATTTAACATCCTCACATGTGAAAGGTGGTAAGAAGCCTGTACGCTTGCTATACTAGTTTTCCAGTTTACTTCCGGATTCTGTTTTCTAAGTCTGGCCCTTCTAATACTTATTATCTTTAATTTCCCTGTTGATTCATCAATCCTGCCTCAAGACCTTGTCTCTAAAGAAAACAAACCAGCTTTATGCTCAGCATTCTAACACTAATATCTGAGGATTTAAAAGATGCTGATGTTCACTTCCTGGAGTAATATGGAAACTGTGTGGCAAAGATGAAGTGGAGGTTACTGTCGGATCAAAGTTAAAACCCCCAGAGATTGAGTGTCTGTGAGATCCGCTCTTCCCCTGAGCCTCTGTTTACTCCTCTGTAAATTGAGAATGTACACACATCTTATTTCCCAGTATTTCTGTAAAGAATATATATTAGATCATACTTTAGAGACCTTTGGGATGGCATTTTAGTGCTAACAAACATCAGCTATCTCTACAATTACTTGATATGGGACAGTCTGAAGTTCATAAGCTTGCCTATGGCTATTGGCCCAATTAATAACAGAACTCAGATTTCAATCCATGTCTTCCTGCTCTGTTTTCGGTACTCAATGAAAAAGTTCTGGGCCTCAGTGGCGCTGTAGCTCAAGTGGTAGAGCGCTCGCCTTGAGCTGAAGAGCTGAGGGACAGCGCCCAGGCCCAGAGTTCAAGCCCCACGACCGACAAAAAAAAAAGAAAAAGAAAAAGTTCTGGGCCTCATGGTGAGCCACAGCAAGAGGATGGAATTTGCATAGTGGAGGTGGGAAAGGGACTTTCAATTAGATCTTGATTGGATCCATGTCAGGGTCCTACAGTCCTAAATTCTTAGATTCTAGAAAGACTGTTTAGAATACCTGCTCTTCCCCTTATCCAAAGTCCGCTAAATGCAAGTGAACCTCAACTTGAACACTTGTGCTTATCCCAGCAGGTCTGTTAGCATTCAGCAATAGATTGACTCCAAGTCAAGCAGTGTACAGCATCTCTCTTAAAGCAAGAGAGGAGAAGAATCCCCCATTCATTGTCTTAGGAGATTCTCAGCAAATTGACTTATTTAAAGAAAACTTGGGAGCTCATAGGCCTCATTCAAATGGAATGTGATGGCTCAGAAGCTAGGATCAAAGGAATTTATGGCTCCCACCAGATCCTTCTCCACTGAGTTTATCTTGCTTTAATAAATGCTGTCATGTTATATACACAATTTGCTGTTCCACATCACAAGATCTGATGCCTGAGATTCAGGCATGGCAACGCTCTCTTGGCTGCGCAAAACCAAACAAACTGGCTTCCCCTAACAACCAAAGCTTTAAGTGGGTGGCTTAACTCTCTCTTGGCTGTTGAGGTCTGTGCACAAATCCTACCCTCTCTGCAGAGCTGTGGATTCATCTAACCTTTAGATGTTCCCGAGAAGCCACACAAGAATCAAATTCTCATTAGTAAAGGAGCCAAATCAGACGAGAATCTTGAACCAACTATGAATTGCAGGAAGTCATGGAGAGTTTGAGACCTCGACACTCAGTACCAAGGTCTTCTCAAAACATTCTTCAGTCCTTGACTGTGTAGATTTTTCAGGCCAATGCCCCTATCTGAAAAAGTCTCTTCAAGTACAGGCTCCACCATGCTCCATGAAACAGTCAAAAGGTCTCCAGTGAACATGAATCTTCAGGGTACTTTGCTCTTTGTTCCTTATCCCTTGTGCTCCCTTCTCTTCTCCATATTCTGGACGCTCTAAGGTCACCAGTATGAATTCTATCAATGCCTTCCACCTTTGAGCGAATTATAGAAATGGAAGGTGCCAGCCGGCCATCGAAGGGAAGCACTGGGCAGGTGAAAGTCAAGACACTTGCGTTCCCGTACCAGCTGCACAGCATATCTGTGGGCTGATAACCTCCCTCAGGAGACTCATTGGTGTCACAAAAACTCTCCCTAGGGTGTAGACAGCTGCTTCTCTCACTTGCCCCTTCAGGTCTAAGAGGTAGTCACATCCCCAGCCTTACAGAATTATACTGGCCCTTCCTCCACATTGCCCACACCTCACCCATTGTATTTCTATCTCGGGTCCCACTCCCTGTTGTGGCCATTGGTCTACTTTCAATGCCTTCCCAGAATCCAAACTCCTGTATTTTCTCCCATGGAGACTATGGGAGAAAATACTCCTTCTTCGTTCCCATGGTGGCCACGGCATGGCCTATAACTCAGGCTTTACCAACTGGACAGTCATGGAGACACTTTGACTAAGGAACGCAAGTCAGAGAGCTTCCTAAATTGGCTTCCCTACAGTGTCTAGCAATGAGACTATGTTACCTACTAGAGGCTCGGTGAGCCCCATCCACTGGAGATGAAGGTGAAATCCAAAGTGACTTCAAGATCTCAAAGGCAGCTACATCTATGAGAGATGGCCATGCTCAGCAGGCCATGAAGGCACACTAGTGCATGGCTCCTGCCGCTTGGCCTCTTTTGCTTCCTGAGAGTTTTCAAGCCTCCTTCTCCAAACTTCCAGTCAATGTTATGAGCTTCCTGAGATCCTTCCAGTAAATGCCTTTTCTGGGATATAATGCACAGGGGGG